ACTTTGGAATTTCCATATGTAAAAGTCATACTGTTAAATCACATATTTTCCTGGGGTCAAATTTTTGTGGTTCGAGGAAAACATGTTGGTTCATGGGTATTTAATTTCATGGATGAAGAACTCTCAATAGTTGTGCACAGAAAATTTACGTTTCGTGGTGGACATGAATTCATGGGTCTCTACACACCTTGAAAACAACAAAAATTAAACCCCCACAAAATTTAGTGATTTCACAGTAGCTACATCATGATCATTTTTTTGAAAATTTGTGGATTATGAAAAAAAATACTTTGCAAGAATAGTGTGTTACTTTTTTCTACAATTTTATTAATTTTCCATCATAAATCTGTGAAAATAACAAATTATCAATAAGGTAAAATAAACTTGGAACAAAGTTAACTAAATAAATGAGAAAAAGAACATGTGAGCAAAAGCATTTTTCTAGAAGGGGGGCAATGTGTCCAATGAAGAAAATCAATACTATAATTATTGTAAAAATCCAAGAATTTTAGGTGAAAATTTCAAATTTACTAGAGTTTATACTTAACCCTGAACTCATGTCCTTGACCTTACCTAGTGGATGTTTGACCGCTGCCCTTTTAGCCTTTTCTTCTTCCTCCTCCTCTTCTTCCAGGAAGAAGCCTGCCCCGGTATCGATGGTGCGTGTCACCTTCTGTCTACAGCAGATAAGTTATATGAGTAAGTCTCACCACTAAAACAAATCAAACTTAAGTCTACTTATAACACTGACAGATCGATATAATAGATACATCAATATTGAAAGCAATTTGGCTTTTCTGACTCTACTGCATCCTTGCTTTCCAAAGCAAAATCTTGAGCTCTTGGAGATGTCAAAGCCCTCAGTCAGTTTCACTATGATTGAAAATATACAAGTATAGCAGATTGGTCTGATGTTATTTTCTAGTTTATTACTGATGTAATTTTGGAATCCTTTCAAATCATTTTAATAGTACATGTACCATATACAGTGTACTGATTTTCTCTGACAATACATTGTGTTTACTTTGACTCTGAACCTGTGTAAGGATTTTTAGCTAATCTGGTCATTCAATGAAGTAAAACTTTTTAGCTTGCTTGCAAATTGGATTGCCTGGGGAGTAAAGCCTATTTAACAGTATATACAGTGCTTACTTTGAATCTGTGGTTGTTTTAGGCTTTTTAGCTAGCCTGGATTGCCTGAGAAGTAAAGCTTATGTAGTCAGAAAGGATAAATGTGCAAAGAAAATAGTTTGCTGGACCAGGAATCGCACCTGGGACTCCAGCTGTAGTACTAGTCAGGTGCTCTAACCACTGAACTATCCTGGCCGATGCCCACAGTCCAGCCTAAATTCCTATATACACATATTTAAGAGTGCTTACTTTGGATCTGTGGCGGTGTAAGGCTTTTTAGCTAGCCTGGACTGCCTGAGCAGTAAAGCCTTTTGACGATTTCGTTCAACTCTTGCTTTCTGAGCAGCTGAAAATTTTCTATCTCCATCTTCATCACCTGTAAGCATATCATTAGAAAAAAAGTTTGTTTTTTTTAAATGTTAGCAGAAAATACAAGGATTTAAGTCTTGACCCCTAGAGCTCTTAGACAGATGCCCTAAAAACTGAGAATTTAGGGTTTTTGGTTGTACAGTTACATGCGGCTCTTTTTTTTTTTTTTTTTTTTTAGATGAAAATCAAATAAAAATAATTCAGAAACAACATGAATAAACACCTGTATTTGCTTTATCCCCAGTTTCGTCACAAGCTGATGAGGGTCCCGATCCTAGTACATCTGACATGATAAATGATGATTGCACAGTCAACGCATGTTATTCTACTTTCACTTCGTGAAATGTTATGCAATCTTGAGCCCAATTTTATAAAAAAAGAAAAAAAATGTCGATACTGTATAAAGTTATCTTGAACTGTAGAGCAATGGGTATCTTATTAAAAAGTACAAACTGGGTGACCGTCATAAATACTACTGAGTCTACTCATTTACATTTGAGATCCGCCTCTTTTTCTTTAGCGGAAGTCGAAGACAAAAAAAGCGTTGCCCACCTTTCAAACGCCTGCAACGACGATTTTCATTGGACGAGCATGGAAAAACCTTTCTGACATCACGATTGTGTAAAAATAGAAAAGTTTGTATTGATATTCGGAAGGGAATCCCAGAAGAACAATCCGACAAAAATCGCGATCATCGGTGTTTAAAACGAAGGTAAGATGTAATATATTTATTTTACACATTCCTTGTATCATCTTTCTACCATTATTTTATGCAATCGCCACTTTTTACTCATATAATTGTCATTTTCCCCACGTCAAATATTTGTTGATTTTTAACAACCTATAGGTCGTCTTGTTGCCAAACAGTGGCCTGGAATTTCTCATTTTACGGCTAATTTACATAACTATATTTCTTGATACATGTAAAAACTGATTCACAACATTCATGAACACAATATTTTTGTAGTATTATGCCTTGTACGCTAAGATTTGAGAAGGACTTAAGAAAATTCTTGTGTTATGGTCTATGGAAGGTAAAATGGACTCGCCCAAGCGGCTGTCTGCTTTAGCTTGGAACTTGCAACAAGTTTCATGTTAAAACTACATTTTATCTTCCAGTAAAACTATGAAAAGGATTCAGTTGGTTTTATTCATCAGAAAAAATTACATTGTGTCTTGATCTTCTTGTTAATTTCATATAATTTACGACAAAATCGAAACGTGTATCGGAACTCCTTGGTGCTAAGTTCCGAATGGCATGTTTTGAACTCCCCGATCAGTTTATTACAAATTTCTGCTTAAATTCTGGTTTACTTTTTATCTTATTCATGTAAAATATTTCATTTTGTCATAATCTTAAACAGTGCACCAGCTGCTTGTGCATTTATGACGTTGGTTCGGGAGAATTTGGCAAACATGCCGAAGTCAAATTCAGCGGGAATAATGGCGACTATTTTGTGTACACTGGGACAGTCTAAGTTTGATGTAAGGGGTGATAGGTTCCCATACATAGTGCATGTCAAAGTTTGTCAGAGGGTTAATGTATATACACACTACTTAACAAAACTATTTTTAAATTAAACTTGCACCTGACACTGAACGCATTTTATTTTAAATTTCAGGATCAGCTTCTTTTTCCTGCTGAAAATCTGGGCAGCTCATGAATACGGTAAGGTCAAATAAAAAAAAATTAAAGACTGATTCAAAAAAATTATTTGTTGTGTGCATCTTACATTTTTTCCTCCTAAGTTTTGCCTCTTGACAGTAGACACAGCTTTTTTATTATGCCTTAAAAAAAAAATATTAAAACAAACTTGGATGTCAGATCTTATTGTTTGATTTCTAACTATTAAAAAAAAAAATCTGTTTTTCAACATTTTGATATATATATGGCTTGTAAAAAATGGGTCAACCATTTTACGTTGCATGTTACTATAAATATTACAGCAGCCCAGGAGAGTTCCCCCAGGGGAGTCGCAGTATCCCAGAGTTATCGCCCCTTCAGCTCAACAGCGATTTGACATACCAGTGGGAGCGGCAGAAAACTTGGCACAAATTCAGTTTCCTATGCACAGCTTCCCGTACGTAATGGCAGCACTTGATAATTTATTTTCAATAATAAGAACATTTTACACCGATTCAGAAAAATTACAATTAATCTACAAGAGCAAAGCATATTTATAAAATGTTTCAAAGAAACACTTTATAAATATGCAGTAAAATCAGTAATATTTCAGTGATTAATTTCAATAATAGTGTTGTCCTTAAGAGGCCAGGGAATTCCCACCCCCACCTATAAAGGCATTTTCCTCCGCCACATTGTTTTGCCCCCTCCCTCCCTCCCCCCCCTTTCAACTCTTAATTGGGAAGAAACCCAAGACACCCTTCTACATTTATAATGTCCTCTTCTTTTTCAATTATGGAAAGCTCTTTCTGAATAAATATTTTCAGGACTACACAGTCACATGTTCATTCAAGCGGAATGCATCACCAACCGAATCCAGCATTGTCCGGTCACCACGGTCCACCGACAGGTCAAGGGTCAACCCAGCCCTCCATCCAGCAAGCACACTCCCAGGGGCAACCCCCGCAGGTAAGCTATTCTGAAGTTTGTTTTTTTTTCTTTTCACAATGAATTGATTAGAATTGCACCTCTTCAAAAGTGATAACTGTGTGAAGTATTTTGAGTTTCTTGCTTTCAATAATGATTTCCCACAAATTTTGCTTCTTGTGACAAGATATACGTGCCCTATTTCAGGCTAATTTGAAGCAGGTTTAGACTATTTATGATAGTTTCAATGCATTGACCTTTATGGTTCCTTGTAGCTAAGGTTTAAAATTCAACCTATGATCATTTCCACACCCAGTTTCATGTTTTCCTTTCCAGCCCCATTTGGTCTAGGTTTTGCATTATTTCCTGTGTTTTCAGGCAAAGCTCATCCTGCAATCTCTTTCAGTACCCATTTGGCCTTATTTGACTAAATTCTGTAATTTTAGCATATATTCTGTTTCAGGCCCACTCCGCTACCACTCAGGGTCAGCAGCAGCAGCAGTTCCAGAGACTGAAGGTAGAAGACGCGCTGTCCTATCTCGACCAAGTCAAGCTACAGTTCGGGAACCAGCCCCAGGTCTACAATGATTTCCTGGACATCATGAAAGAGTTCAAGTCACAAACGTAAGTACTACTACCAACTTAACAGTCTGTAGACTATATTGCATTTTGAGAATTTGATGATCACTTTTCCACACGGATAAGACAGTTGGATTGCATTTCGGTACTTAAAAATATTTGATTCCTTGTCTTTATATAGAGCCATTCATCAAAGTAATTCTGTTTGAGATATTTAGGGTACAATGCATAAAGAAAAATGGTTGGGACTTCCAAATGGCTTCAACACATCAGTGGTATTTGAGATGTTCGCTGTGTCAATGATCAAGATACTGATCTTTAACTTAAACATTTTTTTTGAGTTGGCTCGCGTAGCGAGATACTCCCTGTCGACATAGCCGTTTCAGAGCTGTAAAATTTTTCACGCATTCATCAAGGTGATCCATACGCCAAATATAATAGTTCTAGCAAAAAATGCTTTGGTTTGAGTGATTGTATAAACTTAAGAGGTAAAAACTGTATAAAATTTCATACTGTAACATTATTTATGCCTTCATGCTTTTAAAGAAATTTTTGATTAAATACCTGTACGATGTACAATTACTGCATATGAATATATGTTCAAGCATGTTAGGCGGATCTAATCTTCCCATCTGAAGTTTATTTATAATTGACCTAGAATACTCTCTAACACAAACACCTGCTGCTCTCATTAGCTGCAGCTAGTTGTTGTTGAAAATCTATTTTTAGAATCCCGATTTGCTGTGGGAATCTATAATCTAATTATACAGCTAATGTTTTTCTTTTTCAGAATTGACACCCCAGGAGTTATCAATCGAGTGTCCAACTTGTTCAAAGGCCATCCTGACCTGATTGTGGGCTTTAATACGTTCCTTCCCCCGGGCTACAAGATCGAGGTCCAGGCCAATGAGATCAGCGTCCACCAGCCGGGTCAGCAGACACTGTGTATCCCAACAAACACCCCAATCATGCTGCCCTCCGCCACGGTAAGTCTATAAATAAAACTACATGTAACTGTGGAAAACCCCTTAAAAACCCTACAAACACCCCAATCATGCTGCCCATGTATACATTTTGTACACTTGAGAAATATCATTAATTTGTTAGCAATTGATAACAAAATTCTCAAAATAAATACTGTAACTATCTCTGAATATATATTTAATCTAACTATCTAACTTCTATATCGGTTCACTGAATTGTTTTCAGCCAATGCCTGGGCATAAGTTAGACATGTTCTCCTTGCCCCAGAAGACGACCCCACCCCCGGCCCACATGCCCAGCACCCCCACCCACGGGTCCTCCCACCACTCCTACCATCAGTCGCCCCACCGTGGGGGATCAGAGCCGATGGGAGCCACCAACCAGAGCCACCAACCCCAGCCCCAGCAGCCCCAGGCCGGACAGCCGGTGGAGTTCAACCACGCCATCAACTACGTCAACAAAATCAAGGTAAGATTTCAACCTGTAGAATTTAATCACGCCATCAACTAGGTAAGATTACATATTTTCAGCTACAGCTCTTTATGTAAGCATTCATTCTTGACCGTTTTAAGATGAGTTCAGAGTCCAAAGAAAGCAGGGATTTTTCATACAAAAAAAAAGGCGTCAACGTTAACGCTTGTTCGGTACCAGTGAAAAAAAAATTACGCACAATATTTACAAAATTTGTGCAAGGCATGGATCTTAAGACATTTGCCAGTTTGAAATAGGCCTATATTTGTATAACAACAGGAATTGATAAAGCAAATATGATTTGGACTTATATACACCTGTAATAGTTTAAATTGACAGAATATAAGATATTTTGTTGAAAAATTTTCAGACAAGTGAAATTGAAGTTCAGACAAGTAAATGTCTTGGTCAATTGTCCGAATGGACAAGTAGAAAAAAAAAAGTTTATATAGAGCCCTGAAAAAATATTTCTCTTAAAAATGAATTTATAGTCTAACTTGAAACTTTATTAGAGAAAAAGAAAGAGGAAATAATTGAGAAATATAGCTGATTTTCATTTTGGGAATAGATCACGTAACCAGACCCAAATCACTGTAAAGTGGTTTTTGCTTGAAATTAAAACTAGACAAATCTTTCAACCGAAAATTGCTGTAATTACTATTAAATAACTAATATTAATACATTCTTAGTATTGTCTTGTTTACAGAATCGTTTCCAAGGCCAACCAGAGATCTATAAAGCGTTCCTGGAGATTCTACACACCTACCAGAAGGAACAACGGAACCTCAAAGAAGTGTGTATCAGTGAATTATTTACAGCAGTCAGTAAAATAATTCTATTTCATCATTTTGAGTAATTTCTACTTAAAATGAAATTTTTTCAAATTTTTATACGCCCGTCTTAAGACGGGACGTATTATGTTATAGGCTTCATGTCCGTCCGTCCGTCTGTCCATTCCTGTCCGGCTCATAACTTCAATACTATTAGGCCTAGGATTATCAAACTTTGTCAACTGATACTTCTTGGGTAGACGATGTGTCGCGCACAAAAAGTAGGAAAAGAAAATAAAAAAAAACAAAAAATTATGTACACACAAAAACAATGAGGTCGCTGTGACCTTTAATTAAGATGCTATGGCCAAATATGGAAAAATCCTGTCCGGCTCATAACTTGTAAACTATTAGACCTAGAACTATCAAACTTGGGAAATGTATACATCTTGGGTAGAAGGTGTGTCGCGACCTATTTCAAGGTCACTGTGACCTTTAATTTAAGTGAATTTTAAAAAAAAACTAAGTTTTTTAAATTTTGAATTTCATAATCCTAAAAAATGTAAAAATATATTTGTATCCTTATTAAAAAAGTGTTAAATCAAGAAAATACTTATTTTTTTCAGCATATACTTGACAGCAATCTATAACAAATATAATGTATGTTAGAGAAATCCCATGTCTCCCATGAGTGTAATTATCAAGCACTGGTCAAGAGTTTTGATAACAGAAAGTTGCATGTCAAATTAGAAAGAAATTAATGAGTTTAGTGTGAGGAGCAAACTGGAGAGCATCGATGTTATCTATAATATCCCTTTGGGAATTGGGCAGATGGGTAAGCCTGGTGGATTAAAAATAGCTCTTGTTGGCTAGCCTAATTTAAATGAATTTGATGAAAAGTAATTAACACTAATTTGATTTTGCATAATAAACTCATATGATATTATATAATATGATTAATCTAAAAAACTAATTTCAATGGATTGGAGTCAGCATGTCCATTTTCCATAGAAATCCCATATTTAAATCTTTCTGTCATTAAATGTTAAAAAAAAATCATTGAGTATTTTATATATTTTTAAAAATATTTTATGGTAGAGATCGAGTTCAGATTCATTCATGAGTAGACAAGCATCCAGTCAAAGATTAATTAATGAGTTCAATTTAGGGAGGCTAGCCAGCATCTTCTTATCTGTTACCCTTTGGGAATTAGAGTAAGAACTGCTGGTCAGTTATATAGCATATGTCATTTGATGGCCAGCATTTTATTTTTCAAAATTAATTTGGTATAGATTAAGTTTTTAAGACTACCGGTAATTTGATATTGTTTAATATGATGGGCATTCGACAAGGTCTAATACAACCAGTATAGAAATCTATCAATGATGCTATGATTAATGCCTACACCACAGGGGATGGATAAACAAATATTTTAAGGAATAGAAAAAATTATGGAAATTTTAGAATCAAGGTTGACATGATTTTCTTGCACTCTAAACCATTTAGTTAATTTTAATTTTTTGACGGGCGTATCATGCTGTGGCGTGGCACTTTATTCTTCATGGAATATTTTTTGGTTGGTACAATTCTGATTACAGTCAGGTAAATGTACCAGGTACCAGCAGATTTTGAAAGCCCTGATTTACAGCATTCATATAAATAACAGGATTAATATCATCATTATGAGTGATCTCCCTTTTGTTTTGTTCCTACAGGGAATAGTCTCCCCTGGCTGTAAGCCCCTGACTGAGGCTGAGGTCTACTCCCAGGTGGCCAAGCTGTTCCAGAACCAGGAAGACTTACTGGCCGAGTTTGGTCAATTTCTGCCCGACGCCAATGGGTCGTCATACGGAGGATATGTAAGTATTAAGCATGATGTGGCATCTTAAATGGAAATTGAACTCCTAAGGAGTTAGGTCAACTTATGGGGTTGGAGGGGGGTGTTAAAGACAAGTAAAAAGGAGATGAGACAAGAGGTAAAAGTCCAGTAACTGTACTTTATGTACAGGGAAAGTGTTGTGTGGAAAATGTTTATGGAGTGACATACCTTAGTAATGGAATTTATGACATTTATTTTGTCTGCATCCGTTGAAGGATACAAATAAGTCTTTGCACTATAATATGAGATATTGTTATTGCAGACCATGAATATTACCCTTCTTGGTGAAATATAGTAAATGTTGATAAAGTTAATGTTGAGATCAAATGATTAAAATTTCTTCAGACACAATTTACCTTGAATATTTTGTTTTACAGCTGAACATGTTACAGACTGACAGCTCCTCCCTGGGGGTCAGAAATGACCACTCCTCTACCGTCAAGAAACCTTCCCTGGGCAATAAAAGTCAGATGGGGAAGAGTGGAAATCAGCACAGACGACCCTCAGGCGGGCCTCAGCCCCCACAGAAGGTAAGGCTTGTCAGATAGTAAAATACAAGAGGTCCGAAATCACCAACAGAATGACAAAGTTACACAGTTTAGGATGAGGGCTTCAATAGGCTTTGCCTGCTGCCCAATCCCATTCACATTTATTTATGAATAAAATTTTATGTAGAAATAAAAAAAAACAAAGTTGCTAGGGATGTAGTATAGCACTTGTGGATGAGCGGGTGCATTCATAATGTAAATTATGCATGTGTGATCTATGTTGGGATTAATAATGCTTTTTATTATGGGATGCTCTGCTTTGTAGACAAAATGAAATTCTTAAATTTATTTGAAGCTTTGATGTTTTTATTTGAGCAAAAGGATTTGAGGACCATTATGATACCCGTATTTCATACTATTGATTTTTTTTTCATCAGAAACAGAGAACGGGAACCTTGAAAGACATCTCACTCGCTGAGGCCGGAAGATACGGAACTCTGAATGAGTTTGCCTTCTTTGATAAAGTGAGTGTTATGTGAATATCAGAGCCATGTTTAAAATTTTCTTTTGCTTTTAAAATGATTGGGATATTTTAAATATTTCTCAGGTAAAAGGTCAAGGCTAACAAAAATTTATTTACATATATTTAAAAAAATTCATGCATTTTCATAAAAGTGCAAAGAGAATTAAAATAAAAGAGAATACAGAATGAATATTATTATAAATGCATCTACTTGGAGACATTTACGATTTTAAAAAAGGGGTCTAAATTTAAGAATTTTGTACAATTTTTTAAAAGGACTTTGAGGGAAAAATAAAAAAAAAATTTAAACTAATTTTAATTCAAAACTTATTCCTTCAGGTGAGGAAGTTCCTGAAGCACCCTGAGGTTTACGAGAATTTCCTGCGATGTCTGGTTCTGTTTAACCAGGAGGTGATTTCCCGTACAGAGCTGGTCCAGCTGGTACAGACCTTCCTACAGTGAGTTACTGCTTAACAGTTTTATATTGATTTATGCATACAGTGTACATGTGTATAAACAGTATAGTCCTTGGAATTTTTTTAATGAAATCATGATATTCAAGTCAATAGTCCGTTATCTTTGTTTTATTTGAAATTAATTATAGAATTGTTGCATTTTACAAAGTTAAATACATTTAAATGTATTTATGCTGAGATTAAACATTAAAATCTATTTAAAAATTAATTGTTTTAGAACAAGACAATATTTAAAAACTTTTTTTTTCCTTCTGCAGGAGGTCCCCTGAGTTGTACAAGTGGTTTAAGGATTTCCTGGGATACAAGGAGTCGGGTGGTACCACAGAGGCAGTACCCCAAGGTGCCCTGGGGAAGGAGAGAGTCAGCGGGGAGCTGGCCATGGAAATAGGTCAGTGTTTATGGTAGTATTATCCTGGATTAAAACCAGCTGTACTGTTCTAATTGCCCTGAAGGTCAATGTTTATGATGGCGTTATCCTGAATTTAAAATTAGATGCACTGTTATTATCAACATGTATAACATTGTTTCATTTGGTGGTATTCAAAAAACTACACTGCTGACATAAAGTTATAACACCAAATTTATTCAAAATGTTACCAATAAATTGTGTCAGCTGTGTCATATAATACATGTACACAATCAGTATTGTAATGTGTAAATTGTTTCTGACCTAACTTTGACATATATTTATAAGAAAAAGTGATGTAATATAAGTCTCATCATAGTCTTCAGAGTTAGCTTCGTTTGCAATGTTGGTTAGTAAGTTTTACTGTGGAGAAGCTGAGCCTGTAATTATAATGATCCTCCCTCTGTTTCAGACTATGCCACATGTAAGAGGTACGGAGCCAGTTACAGAGCACTGCCCAAGTCCTACCCCCAGCCCAAGTGTTCAGGGCGGACCCCACTCTGTAGAGAGGTAACTACCGTAAATCTGGAAATTTTTACGTCGATTTATTTTTGCGAATTTGTGTCAGAAAGCTATAGATTAATTTTTATGCTTTTAATTTTTGCGAATTGTCACCAGCGCTAAAAATTAAATCACATATAATTCAATCACTTTATATTTTGAGTGTTTGCTAACCTTCGGAGATCGTTTATTACACCGCTTCCGATATCGTTGATTATTGTCGGCTCTGGAAGTAATTCTCATTAAATATCAATAAGATGTTATAGAATATGAGTTCTCAACACAAAAAGATGTAACATATTTGGTCGCAATAACCTTCACACTTCCGACTTTTGACTAACGATCCCGACTTTTAAATAATTTATTTGACTACCGGTATTGGATAATCAAATATAGAAATAAACTTAGAACCATAGAAAAAATAAAACAGTTTTATTAAAACAATTTTAAAAAATAGTTTTATTAAAAACCCGTGCAGTAATAAGAGCCAAATTAAAAATTAAACACAGCATTTTAAAAAAAAAAACATGCATGAAATCACGTACAGTTCTTAGGGCCTACAATAAAACATACATGTATGGTGAAATGCGTGTTTAAAAGATAGATCAAGATGATTCTAAAACACAAAATAAAAGATGGTTTATGACTTTTAAATACAAAAGTTCGTACTGTTAAAACGATAGGCACCTATCACACAGTCACTTTAAAAATTAAATGAGAGTCCCAGTGTGTCAGAAATGCCGGCTTTCTTAAACCCGTTAAACACCTTTTCTGGATTTCATTTTAGATAGGCGATGGATGAGTCGAGCCACTTGGCACTTAACGGTTTTAGAACGGACATCCCTAGGTTTATTTCTAGTTCACCCCCGGCTTGGAGTATGGTGGCCACCTTTTCCGCATACCACGTTTCGAATCGATCTTGCATATGATCCTTGACGATCTTCTGAACACTTAAATCCATTGGCTGGAGTTCAGAGGTGCAGTTAGGAGGGACATACACATATACGAGTCCAAGCTCTTTCATGCGGTCTCTAAATTCTTCTGACAGTTGTGCATTGAAAAAGTCTAGAATGATTAGGCCTTTTTGGCGCAGGGGAAGATCGAGCTCGTCGCGAACTTTACTAACGTATGGTACGATAATCTTATCCAGTTAGCGGAAACTTGTGTCCTTGTTTGCCCAGTGGTTTTCAGTATGGGTAATATCCCAGTCGTCGGGAAAGTTGTACTTGGCGTGGAACAAATCCGTTTTCCCCTTGTAAATGACCTGTGGTGGCAGGACATCCCCACTCAATGCCCCGGCCATAACACCTGTGTTAATGAAACCAACAAATATAAGAACAAAAGAAATATGCTAATAAGTGCGGTCATGTACAGATTGTATATTGCATTTGAGAGGTGTATTTGATTTAATTATTTAACTTGTAAATTATTTAATTTTAATGTCCAATCATTTCATTACCTGTGATTTCCCATTTGTCATCCAAGCCCACGATGTTTACTTTGTCACAGCCTTTCTCTGCCATTGTCCAACGACTCACGGGTAACAATTGAACGCCAGTGTGATCAAAGTTAATTATCAACTGTGGGGGGATCTTATATTTGGTAACAAGCTCATCGATTTTCTCATGAAACTTTGTTTTCAGTTCATTTAAGTTCTTTATTTCTGGTTTTGCTGTACTGCTTCCACGTCTTTTCACCATGTTCATCCGTTTCAAGATCGAAAGCGCCCATTGACGTGTTATTTCTATGCTCCCCCCCATTTTCTGTCAAGAGCGTCCTGTCCTCGGCCAAAATTACTCCCTTTGCTATGGCACGGGTGATTCTACTGTTTATAATTCCTCCAGCGTCGTGGATTTCTGTGACTAAGTCCTGTACTTTTTTGTTAAGGCTCTCACCCAACATAAGTGGCCGACCCCATTTTTTTCTTTGGGAGTTCCTCAACATCCATGTTTAGCTTTCTTTTCCGAACAGAGTTGTAGGTTTTCTTTAAATATCGAACAGTTTATTCCTTTTAAATTTAGATCACCGAAATATTTCAATGTTTTTGGAGTTCCGTTTTCGTCTGCAAACTTTGCCACTTTGGCGCGCATTTCGTCACTTAAAACTGTATAATTTCCGCGTTTTCTCTTCTTGGGCGTTTCATTGTAGACTTCGTTTAGTTCTTCATTGACTAGTTGACGAGCAATGGAGTTGTCCGTTTCTGTGTTTAAAAGCACTGGCCTCTCTTTTTTTGTAAAATAATTTAAAATAGACATGATGTCTTTCAATCGAATATATCGATTGTGAGTGAAGCCGTTCTCCACAGGCCGGGTTTATAAAACAGGTTTTCTTAATGAATACTACTTACGGACAACTGTTCACAGTGCTACATGTATGATTCGTGACTTGCCGTTGGGAATTTTTTGTTTACATTTTTTTTTTATTGTCGATTAATTTTTAAGAAAAATATTTTTGCGAATGCATGGCACGCGCAAATTTGCTAAAAATTTATCTACATTAAAAATTTCCAGATTTACGGTATTTAGAGACTTAAAATTAAAAAGAGGTTTTGTTTTTACACATAGAGATCTAAAAATCTTGTACAATTAGTACTTGCATTATTATATATTTGTTTTATTTTAGCTTATTCTCCCCTCCCTCTTCCGTCCCATCTTTTATACATGTACTTTCATAATGTAAACTGTTACTGACATCAGCTTTGTTTACCTATAAAGGTACTGAATGACACCTGGGTTTCCTTCCCTTCCTGGTCCGAGGATTCCACGTTTGTGACGTCACGGAAAACCCAGTACGAGGAGCATATCTACCGCTGTGAGGACGAGAGGTTTGAGGTAGGTTTTCAGGGGCTTCAGGGTTCAGTTATAAATAGGCCCTTTGAATGAGTCAGTATAAACTGAGGTCTTGATTTTTAGTTTATACTGGTACAAAAAAAAGTTCTTCACCACTTTTCAAAGGCCATAGTCTAAATTAGTAGTTCAGCAATTTGTGTGATCCAAATAAAATGTGTACTTTTTTTGAGGGAATGTAAAACAAAAAAATATATGCATATAATACAAATTTTTGGCACTTACACTGACTATTTCTTTAAAGCTTTAAAGGCTTCCCAGAAAAAGAAAATTGGAAAGTAAAAATTATTTAAAGTGATTTATGTTGACGCGGAAGCATGTCTGTTTTAGCTTGATGTTGTCGTGGAGACAAACTTGGCCACTATTCGTTGCCTGGAGGCAGTACAGAAGAAAATGAGTCGCATGAGCTCAGAGGAAGCTGCTAAATTCCGATTGGACAACTCCCTGGGCGGGTCATCTGATGTTCTACAGAGGAAATCCATACAGAGGTTAGGGAGGAGTGAATGTTTGTGTGGAAGGGAGTAGGGAATTTTCAAACTTTCAGATTAATAAATTTCATCACATTCCAAAGGTTAATTTGTATAAATATTTAGATAATAGAGAGAATTCATGAGAAAAAGAGAGAGAAGGGATGGTGGTGAAAGAGATCAAATATATTATTTAACTGTAGAGTTTTTTAAAAAGGGGGTAGGGGGAGATCTACACATTTCAGGGTATTAATAACAGTTGTGTTAAATGAACATTCTCTGTTGTAGAATATATGGAGACAAAGCTCCGGACATTATTGACGGTCTGAAGAAGAACCCTGTTGTAGCAGTACCTCTAGTTCTGAGGAGGTAAGGCCAAATAAAAAAAATAATAATTTAAGAGGTTAGCAAGGGGGATGTCACCTATGCACGTTTATTCAATGAAATTTTAGATGCAAAATATTTCATTTATGAAGGAAAGAGATCAGTTTCCATGCATCTCTTTGTGTAACCAGCAGTATACCAGACAATGGCCGATATCTGTTGGAAACCTGCCAATTTGTACCACATCTTAAACAGCTAATAAGAAATGAAGACAAAAGAGTGCCTGTTTAACATTAAATTTTGTAAAATTGCATATTTTCATGAGGTAAAGGTTTCATGGTTTGAGAGAAAAAAAACACTATTTGGCAGTCAGGGGTGTGATTGAAATCCATCATTTTTAAAAATGATGATTTTCAGTCATTAAATTGATTTTTAATAATGATGGAAATTCATCTTTTTCAGTCTTCACAACAATTCTTTTTCAGCACATGCCCTTCGGGCATGTATACCAATCATTTTAACCCAGCCCATTGAAATTTGTACATGCCCTACTCAAAATTCATTCATATAGCAGATATGATTGTGCATCAAAAACATAAGGTTATTATATTTACTATAAGGACAGTGTTTCTGTTTTTAAATTCTCTGAATCTAAAGTTTAAATTGTTTTCAGAGTTTTAAATCAATGGTCTGCCTGTCTGTCATTTTCTTATGTGTTTTTGTTCACAACTTTTGACTCGCATGCTGGTCATTTGTTGGCTCGCTTAGCTGAACTGAATTACATAGCAGTTTACGCGAATAACTGGGGTATGACAGAAGAAATGGCAAGTAAACATCGTGAATCGAAAAAAAAATTCACACATGCCCTTCGGGCATATAATTTGAGAATTTTCACATGCCCTCTGGTATATTTGCCAGGTCCCGGGCATGGGGCACCCAGGTTATTTCGAAGACGGCTTTTTTTTGTAAAATGATGAAAAACAGTCATTTCTATTTTGAAATTTATTTTAGAAATAGAGTTATCTCTGATATTAAAAATGACTGTTTTTCATCATTTTTTATCAAATTGTTAGGTCTGGGCGCACTTAATTATCTCATTAGTTTTACGGGGCGCACTAAATTATTTTGGTTTCAATTACTTGTCAAGATGTTTCTCTACACAAGGGTCTATGGCAGGATAGTGTACTATATCTAATTACTGTAGTAAATGGGATGGGAAAATTGACTTGAGAATGAAAATATGATGAAAAGACGTCATATTTACAAAAATCAGAAAATTGTGTACATTATATACTTAGAAGAAATGACCATTATCCATCATTTTCAAAAATGACTGATTTCAGTACCACCCCTGACTGTTTGGGGGGATTGGATTTAGTGGATGAAGAATTGTTTAGTAGTTGTGTATGTAAAATTTTACAGTTCATGGTTGACATGAATTTGTTGGTCTCTTCAAACCATGAAAACAAAGAAAATTACTCCCACAAAAATTAGTGATTTCACAGCACTCTGACTACATTTCAAAACAATTCATGTTTGAAATTTTAGATTGAAGGCCAAGGAGGAGGAGTGGCGTGAGGCCCAAAGGAACTTTAACAAGATTTGGAGAGAGCAGAATGAGAAGTACTATCTCAAGTCACTGGATCATCAGGGAATTAACTTCAAACAAAACGATGTCAAGGCCATCAGATCTAAAGGTCTCCTCAATGAGATAGAGACTATATATGATGAGGTGGGTCAAAGGTTATATTGAGGTTAAAGTTCAAAGTTAGGTTAACTTGAATTTACTCGGTATTGATTTTGGTAATGGACAATTGGGAATCTTTGAAGAAAAAATAGGGTTTGTGACTCTGTCATTTTGTCAGATGAAAAAAAATAAGTTGGATCAGAAGTGTTATTTGTTACTTCTGCACTGTAATACTAGAATTAATGAAGAAAAAACTAAGAGTTCTTTGAATAATAATTGCATATTTTTGATAAAAGTGTCCTTGAAAGATTTCTTTTTCCTTTGAGTAATTGTCTTAAGACATTTGAGAAGGAAAATTAAGTTAAATGATCAATTTTAAATTTATATCACCATTGTTTGTTTATATTTTGTATAACAGCGGTCAGAACAGGAGACTGAGAGTGCTGAAGCATTTAACCCCCACCTGAGTTACGTGTACAAGGACAGGTCTGTCATCGAGGACGCAGCCTCCCTCATCCTACATCACATGAAGAGACAAGCCGGTCAGTACTGATATGATAATAACCTTCTGTAGATTTCTAATCACACACAAGTATTTAGAGGTCATCTTTCACCAGATGCATCACCCACAAATTAAATTAATGTTATAATCATTATGTTGAAATCCATGCATAATCTCTTAGTCAACCATCAACTAGCAAATTATTGTTCTTGTTATTTGACGTGCAAGATTCAATTTGCAAAATAAAGTACTGGCAGAAAATGAGGAATCAAAAGTATTTACATGAAGGTTGACTATTACTTTCTTATGTGTTTGTAAATTGCACAACTGAAAGCTGAAAAGCCAAGAAAAAAAAGGATTTCACATACTGCATTAAAAATTCAATAGGAGGTGTTTTTCCAAAAATGATTTCAGAGATCAAGAAAATATAGCAAAACATTTTTATGAGCCCGAGAAAGATTGTCATAAAGTACATGTACATAAAATTCATATAAAAAGAAATCAATATTTTTGACTTATAGGAATTCACAAAGATGACAAACATAAGATCAAGCTGTTGTTACGTCAGCTGATACCGGATCTGTTCTTCATGCCGCGACAGGAAATGAGTGACGACGAAGAAGAAGGTACAGGGAGATAACTCTTACTCGTTCTAAAGTATCCTTAAGGGGACCGACTATAGTTTCCATTGCGCAATATTTTGCGCATCATAGTAAAATGAAGCGTATTTACTGTTTTAATGCAACTTTTTTTCGCTTAACTATTAAAATTAAACAAAATTAAGAAGTTATAGGTATAAAAATGTAATAACAATTTGATATAACTGATTTTTTAACCGATTTTGCAATTGATAGGTAGGTTGATGTCGTTGCAGTGTGTTTTTGACATTATGATAATCTATAGCTCTTAAAGAATGGGGTAATAAAAATATTATTATGCCCCCCTTCGAAGAAGGGAGGGCATATTGCTTTGCTGCTGTCCGTTGGTCTGTCGGTCGGTCTGTCGGTCCATTTAGTTTCCATTCATTTTCTTCACAACCGTTGCACATACTGAGATGGAATTTGGTATACAGGGTTATCAGGTAAATATCTAGGTTCAAGTTCTGTTTTGGGTACGATCACACCATTTTTAGCTCACCTCAATGAAGTTGGGTGAGCTTACTGTAAACCAACTTTAATTCGCGTGCGAGAAATTTTCGCGAAGTTCGCGAGAGCGTCTTCATCGCGAATATTTCTCGCCGCGAACCGGTCCTGTAAGTCTCTGTGCCTATTGACTACAAATCCAAAAAGGTTTGATCGCGAAAATTAATCGTCGTGAACTAGTTCATCCTTGATAAATCGCGAAATAAAGTAGTCGCGAATAAAAGTTGTTTTACAGTATGTAATACTCTCGGTGTCGGTGTCGGCATCCCAGGTTAAGGTTAAGTTTTTTGGAGCAGTTTTCTTTTTAAGTACTTCTATGTCCTATATTGATTAGACATGCATGGAAGATGGTTCTAGTGTGTTTCATTGTACCAGTCAAAGTTTCAGATGCTGCAATTTCAGCAAAGGAATGACCAGGTTAATGTTTTTGGAGCAGGTTAACATTTTTGGTGCAGTTTTTGGTGTAGGTTTCATTTCCAAGTAACTATGAGCCCTGTGTTGACCAAACTTGCATGTATGATACATCTAAGGATGCATACTACCGGGCTTGCTTCGGATGCTGAATCTGACCTACATTTTCCGGTTGAGTGAACAGGTTAAAGTTTTGGTGCAGGTTTCATTTCTAAGTAACTATGAGCCCTATGTTGACCAAACTTGCATGTATGATACATCTAAGGATGCATACTACCGAGCTTGCTTCGGATGCTGAATCTGACCTACATTTTCCGGTTGAGTGAACAGGTTAAAGTTTTCATCAAGAGATGAAAATTCTCAAATTTGCTTCAGATGCTGGATTTTGATTACATTTTCATGAAGAAGAACTTGTTTAAATTTTTTATGTAGGTCTATTTCAAAGTATCAGATCAAAATTGCTTAAATATTTTCATTTTTGGAATGTACACTTTTTGTTGGTTAATTGTGTGACTTTGCCTTACTTAAAGACAACATTCGTTGAGGTGAGCTCTGTAATCTTTGATTACCTATGTTTGACAAAGTTATGCCCCTTGGACTTGGAAAAATTCCACTTATTTGCAGTTTCCATTCATTTTCTTCGCAGGGGTTGCACAAATTGAAATGAAATTTAATATACAGATTTATGAGCTAAATATCTAGGTCAAGTTCTGTTTTGGGTGTGATCACACCATTTTTGACAGAGTTATGCCCCTTGGACTCAGAAAAATTCCACTTATTTGCAGTTTCCGTTCATTTTCTTCGCAAAGGTTGCACATATTGAAATGAAATGTAGTATACAGATATATCAGATAAATATCTAGATCAAGTTCTGTTTTGGGTACGATCACATCCTTTTTGATAGAGTTATGCCCCTTGGACTTAGAAAAATATTTGCCGTTTCATTCATTTTCTGCACATTTTCAAATGAAATTTAGTATACAGATGTTTCAGCTGAATATCTAAGTCAAGTTCTGTTTTTGGTACGATTGCACTATTTTAGACAGAGATATGCCCTTTGGGACTTAGGAAAAATCCAACTGGGGGGGAGGGGGGCATAAGTGTTTTACAAACATCTCTTGTTTAAGAAAAAGTAATAAACAAACGCTCTTGAAATTTAAAACATAAAAATTTGAGAATATTTCCATTTTTTAGCTTACCTGAGCCGAAGGCTCAAGTGAGCTTTTCTGATCACATTTTGTCCGGCGTCCGTCTGTCTGTCTGTAAACTTTTCACATTTCGACTTCTTATCAAGAACCGCTGGGCCAATTTCAACCAAACTTGCCACAAAGCATCCTTGGGTGAAGGGGATTCAAGTTTGTTCAAATGAAGGGCCACGCCCTCATTCAAGGGGAGATAATTGGCAATTAATGAAAATTTGGTGGCATGTTTTAAAAATCTTCTCAAGAACCACTGTGCCAGGAAAGATGAAACTTATGGGGAATCATCCTCAGGTAGTGTAGATTCAAGTTTGTTCAAATCATGACCCCCGGGGGTAGGGCGGGGACAAAATGGCCGACCAAAGTTTTACATAGAAATATATAGGAAAATTCTTTAAAAATCTTCTTCTCAAGAATGACCAAGCCATAATTCATCATATTTATATGGAAGCATCCTCAGGTAGTGTAGATTCAAGTTTGTTCATATCATGACCCCCGGGGGTAGGGCGGGGCCAAAATGGCCAACCAAAGTTTTACATAGAAATATGTAGGAAAATTCTTTAAAAATCTTCTTCTCAAGAATGACCAAGCCATAATTCATCATATTTATTTGGAAGCATCCTCAGGTAGTGTAGATTCAAGTTTGTTCAAATCATGACCCTCGGGGGTAGGGCGGGGCCAAAATGGCCGACCAAAGTTTTACATAGAAATATGTAGGAAAATTCTTTAAAAATCTTCTTCTTAAGAATGACCAAGCCATAATTCATCATATCTATATGGAAGCATCCTCAGGTAGTGTAGATTCAAGTTTGTTGAAATCATGACCCCCGTGGGTAGGGCGAGGCCAAAATGGCCGACCAAAGTTTTACATAAAATATATAGGAAAATTCTTTAAAAATCATCTTCTTAAAGATAGAAAATCCATGATTGTTCATGGGACTACTTTTGGATTTAACCTTTTCAATAATAAACCAATTTATACTTTGCCTAGCCACAGTGCTCAGGTGAGCGCCCATGGGCCTCTTGTTTAATTATGTATTCATGTGAATCCATTGTGTACGCCATATTTTGTAATACTCTATAAAAATAGTAAAATTTGCTAATTTTTTGCATTTTGAGATGCCCCCTCTGGTAACAAGACGATAGAATTTTGTGTTTCTTACATATATTGTATAATATAGTATTACTCATCAAATATTATAGTTTGAACAAAATGTCTATTGTAGTATTTGTATAATTTGCTTTAAAGTGCTAAAAATTGGCATTTTCCTATATAATCCTATAGTAAATGTACCTGTATTTTGAGACGTCCCTCAAAATTACCTGGAAGGTAATTATATATGGTATAAAAATGCAGAGTTTCGCTAATATAGTTTTCACACAATAAAACTATAGTCGGCCCCCTTAATTCTGTTAGGATTGTAATCATGTAATACGTTGTCATATATCCAAATATCCTAACCTAAGTATTAGTATTCAGTATTCAAAACAAAGACAATTATGTATAATTGAAAAATCAATATTTTTTTTTTCAGAAAAGTTATTTGCTAATTAGATTGAAATAATAATTTACTTATATAATTTACTGTAGATTGTCAAATATACGCATGGAATTAATTAATGCTTTTATTTTATTTAGAAACTCCACATAGCAAAAAAAATTTTGCCTTTATGTATATCATGTATATGGTGCTGAAATCTATGGAAAATCTCTTGAACAAAAACATCAATTTGCTATTTATTATTCTCGCGATTTGACGTTAAAGAACTCATTCTCGATACTAAGTACTTGCGAAAAATATTTTTCTCTGTTTTGTACTGTAGTTTTCATTCAGCCTTACAAATGGATTACATGTGTTGTAGATGATATGGATGTTGATGATGCAGACAAGGAAATGCCAAAAGCAGAAGAAAAGAGAGAATTGGATAAGGACAAATCTGCAAGTTCAGGGAAAAATGGAAAAGAGGGTGAAGAGGTGAAGGTCAAAGAGGAGAAGATTGACCCGGAGATAAAAATGGAGGAAGAAGATGAGAGTAAATCTGCCGACTCGGCTCTTGTCAACGGTGACCAGGAGGAAAACACTAACGACGACGACATGGAGGATGTAAGATTATATGAATTTTTTTTTTAAAAAATCTAAAATCTGTGAATGAATTAAAAAGAATTTTGCACAAGATTTTACTGCTGAATTTCTTCAGTGTTGTAGTTTGTGGTCAAAAAGTTTCTTATATAATTCATGCACATAGTTGCAACTTTTTCTTGAACCTTACTTTTTATGAATTTACAGGATGATGTTTATTCCCTATTCTTTGTAAACAATAATTGGTATCTGTTTTTCCGCCTCCATCAAATTCTCTGTGAACGCCTGTACAAGATATACACGTATTCTGTTAAAATTGCCGCAGAGGAGGCGCAGTGTAGAAAAGACAGAAAGGAATCTACTGCAGTGGCCCTCAGACTCAAAGCTCCAAGTAAGTAATCTTAAGAAGTCTTTAGGGGAAATCTTATATGCTAAGCTGTAAAACATTATATCTGTTATTATGCCCCTCTTCGAAGAAGGGAGGGCATATTGCTTTGCTGCTGTCCGTCGGTCTGTCGGTCCATTTAGTTTCCGTTCATTTTCTTCATAACCGTTGCACATACTGAAATGAAATTTGGTATACAGCTTTATCAGGTAAATATCTGGGTCTACTTATGTTCTGGGTACGATCACACCATTTTTGACAGAGTTATGCCCCTTGGACTTAGAAAAGTTCCACTTATTTGCAGTTTCCGTTCATTTTCTTCGCAGGGGTTGCATATATTGAAATGAAATTTAGTATACAGATTTATGAGCTGAATATCTAGGTCAAGTTCTGTTTTGAGTACGATCAGACCATTTTTGTTAGAGTTATGCCCCTTGGACTCACATATTGAAATGAAATTTAGTATACAGATATATCAGATAAATATCTAGGTCAAATTGTATTTTGGGTATGATCGCTTCCTTTTTGTTAGAGTTATGCCCCTTGGAGTTAGAAAAATTCCACTTATTTGCAGTTTCCATTCATTTTCTTTGCAGAGGTTGCACATATTGAAATGAAATTTAGTATACAGATATATCAGATAAATATCTAGGTCAAGTTCTGTTTTGTGTATGAAATTCAGTATACAGATTTTTCAGCTGAATATCTAGGTCAAGAAATGTTTTGGGTAGGATCGCACCATTTTAGACAGAGTTATGCCCTTTTGGACTTAGAAAAATTCCAATTTGGGGGGAGAGGGGCATAAGTGTTTTACAAACATCTCTTGTTTATGCATGCACAGTACAGTCAATACAACCCCCCTCCCTTCCTTTTTTCATATTTAGTTGAGGGAAAGTTGTACAGTAATTTACATGAATTTGCAGTTATGACAATATTTACAAAAGCTTTAGTCTTATAATACTGAGTTTCTAAATTTTTCATTTGTTATGATTGTTGCCATGGTTACAGGCGAGATTGAGCCAGAGGAGTATTATCCATACTTCCTGGAGATGGTGAAGAGTTTGCTGGACGGGAACCTAGAATCTACACAGTATGAGGACCAGCTAAGAGAGATGTACGGTATCCATGCCTACATCGCCTTCACCATGGAGAAGTTGGTACAGAACCTTGTCAGACAGGTGAGAGGACAAGTTTTAATTTGGAAACGTGTGTGTACTTTGGTATGATGTACACTTGTATACCATGAAATCAGTCATTTTTAATGGGGTTTAATTTTATTTTGTTATGCCCCCCTTCGAAGAAGGGAGGGCATATTGCTTTGCTGCTGTCCGTCGGTCTGTCGGTCCATTTAGTTTCCGTTCATTTTCTTTACAACCGCTGCATATACTGAAATGAAATTTGGTATACAGGTTTATCAGGTGAATATCTAGGTCAAGTTCTGTTTTGGGTACGATCACACCATTTTTGACAGAGTTATGCCCCTTGGACTTAGAAAAATTCCATTTATTTGCAGTTTCCGTTCATTTTCTTTGCAGAGGTTGCACATATTGAAATGAAATTTAGTATACAGATGTTTCAGCTGAATATCTAGGTCGAGTTCTGTTTTGGGTTTGATCGCACCTTTTTTGATAGAGTTATGCCCCTTGGACTTATAAAAATTCCACTTATTTGCCGTTTCCATTCATTTTCTTTGCAGAGATTGCATATATTCAAATGAAATTTAGTATACGGATGTTTCAGCTGAATATCTAGGACAAGTTCTGTTTTGGGTTCGATCACAATTTTTTTGTCAGAGTTATGCCCCTTTGACTTAGAAAAATTCCAATTATTTGCAGTTTCCGTTCATTTTCTTTGCAGAGGTTGCACATAATGAAATAAAATTTAGTATACAGATTTTTCAGCTGAATATCGGAGTCAAGTTTTGTTTTGGGTATGATTGCACCATTTTAGACAGAGTTATGCACTTTTGGACTTAAGAAAAATCCAATTTGGGGGGAGGGGGGCATAAGTGTTTTACAAACATCTCTTGTTATGTGAGATATGGAGAAACCTGTGAATTTATGACCACCACAAAATTCAAAACTTCTGGTCCATTACTAACTTTCTCCAACCAAAAAATCAATCCCCAAAAATCATTTTTTTTTTTCCCTCAAAGGGAAACCTTGAAAAATTGACCCCATGAAAACGTGCAATTTTACAGTAATTCAGTTCTTTTTTTGGGGGGGGGGTTAGGTATTTCAGTGAATAACTATGTCTTACAGTTTTTTCTCCTACAAAACATAATTTTAAAATCTTAACTTTTGAATTTCAAAATGCTATTCCTTCAACAATTTGATCCAGTTTTGATAGGACGTATTACAGAACTAGACTACATTAAGATAAAAAGATAATATCAGTTTTTGTTTTGACAAAAGGCATCAAAAATAGAATTTTCTTTGAGATTTTATCAAAACAGTCTTCCTCTCTTATTTTTTTGATCCATTATAAATAAAAATTGGTACACAAGTTGAATACACAAACAACCATTACTTGTATTAAATAAATTGGTTTTGATTCCAACAAACAGTGTCGTCTGTATGCTTTATTGTCCCCCGAAAGCGAGGGAACATTAAATCTCATTCATCTGTCAGTCTGTAAGTCTGTCAGTCAGTCTGTCTGTCCGTCACAAAAACTTTAACCTTGCTCATAACTTTTGATTTAGTGGAGCAATGACTTTCATATTTCACATGTGTATTCCAAGTGACAAAACCTTTCTTTGGGTACCACCAAATTTGACCTTTTGACCTTGGAGTTTGACCTACTTTTACACAAAAATTCCAAACTTTTACTTTGGCCATAACTTTTGAACGGTAGATACTAGGGCTTTCATATTTCATATATATGTTCTTTGTGGCAAGACCTCTCATTGGATACCAACAATTTTGACCTTGACCTTGGAGATTTCCGTACTTATGAAAAAACTTTAACCTTGGCCATAACTTTTGAATGGTAAGGGCAAGGGCTTTCATACTTCACATATGTTATTATTGTGAGGAGACCTTTCATTGGATACAAAGAACTTTGATCCTTTGACCTTGACCTTGGAGTTTGACCTATTTTTTCACAAAAATTCCAAACTTTTACTTTGGCCATATCTTTTGAATGTTAGATACTAGGGCTTTCATATTTCATATATGTATTCTTTGTGGCAAGACCTCTCATTGGATACCAACAATTTTGACCTTTTGACCTTGACCTTGGAGATTTCCGTACTTATGAAAAAACTTTAACCTTGGTCATAACTTTTGAATGGTAAGGGCTAGGGCTTTCATAATTCACGTATATAATCATTGTGAGGAGACCTTTCATTGGATACCAAGAACTTTGATCCTTTGACCTTGACCTCGGAGTTTGACCTTCTTTAAAAAAAACTCAAGCCTTTCCATAACTTTTGAACGGTTCGGGCAAGGGCTTTCATACTTCACGTATGTAATACTTGTTGCAAGACTTTTCTTAAGAAACTACCAATATATATAATCTATTTTGTCATACGTGGTCATCAAGTTCACTTCCTTATAACTTTTGACTGAGAAGAGAAAGGGCTTTCATATCTGACATGTGCATTACCTTTGACAAGATTTGACACAATATGTGATAAATCAAAGTACTGAAAGTACTGAAAAGCGGTTAGCATGCTTTCATCTAATATGTACCGAAAAAGTGCATAAAATGATGATATTTAAGTATGCATATCTTTGTCCAATTTCATCAGAGAAGAAAAACCCAGACATTCTGTTTTTGTAATACTTTACTCAATAGTAAAACCAATGACATTCCAAACTGATGTCACAGATGGATGCAATCTAATTAAAATTAGATGTTCCGAATCCGCTACTGCTTCTCAAACATCTAACAACATCCTATTTGGGGTCATGTAAGAGTGAATCTTCGATTAGGCAAAGAAAATGGTTCCTCCGAAATCCTGGCTAATAGTTCAGATGAGTTTCTTGTTTTCACTACCCAACCAAAACACCCGAGGAGTTTTGTAGTAAAAAGATATGCATTGCAAAAGTTGTGTTATGTATGACGTGTGGGGTATCTTGTATAGTTTGTGCTCCTTCGTTTGCATTATTCACGTTTAGATGCCAGACTGCAGAAGATACATGAAATTTATTCCAAAATTACTTTAATTCAATTTAATTCAAATTAATTTGAGAACTGTTTACCGAGGCTTGAATCTACATGGCCAAAGTGTTTGTGTTTACTTGTACATGTATTCATAATTGAAAGGTCGCTCTGATGTGACCCCGAATGGGATGTTAGATGTTTCAGAAGCGGTAGCGGATTTGGAACATTTAAATAAATTTTAATAAGATGCATGTTTCAAAATTTAAACATGAGTTTTATTCAGTTTGAAAGACAGGAAGTGCATTTTTAAAAATTCTCTCTTGATGGCATCCAATTGTTCTCTGGATAAAAGAAAATTATGTTGATGTTGAAAATTTCATTGTCTTTTATTCTCTATTGAATCTGAAATTAGGTAATTGTAAAGCCTACTATAACAAACAACTAAAAAATGACAAGTTAAATTCTTTAGATTAATGGATATTGAGTAGTGTAGATCTACAGCTGGCTAGTCAGAGAAAAAAGGATGGCTGAGGAGAGACTTTGTAAATGAATTGATATCAGAGAGATTCAGTTGTGTAGGCTCATCGCGGCAATATAATTAACCTGTCAACGAGGGATGCTTACTTTTTCTAGGCAACGGATCCCACCTCTTGAACTTTCTGGAGTCAGCTTTTCTTCTAAAATCGATCATTGATCATTCTGTATTTTGATACAGATACTGAATACTTCCTTTAGTAATATTATAAACTACTACTTCTACGGGAAGACTGGCGAGTAAACAAGATTATCAAGCTTTATGAAATATATTTTATTGACTTTTCAAACAAGTAAATGTTCCAATAAAGTAAATGGTATATGAGAATCATTTGAAAGAAGTCTTGCACAATATGTCTAGATAAGGATATATAAGGTGTTTTTTATCATATACTCTTCATGCAATATTGTTCTCAAATAAAATATGAAAAGGAAAGTTGTGTAATCAATCAATACTAGTATTTAAAAATTCAAATGTACATTAAAAATCAGTGTAACTTAAGAAGTTATCAGTGTCACTTTCTTCAATATGTCGGTTAAACAATATACACTGATTTCTTTTCTATCAATGTGCCTCTAAACACCTGTATTTTAATTTTATTCTTCTCAAACGTTTAAAACAATAATCGACAAATTGGAGAAATTCAAATTCTAAAAGTATTTTCACAGCTAATATTACGTTCCCTAGGAATCGATCAAATTTTCAAAACTTATAAATAAGCATTAAGTATATATTTTAAATTTTTGCTAATTGCCAAAATTTTTCATACCTCATTCTTCTGTGAAAATATTATCGGTTGATTTTTAGAAGAGGATCACAATGCTGATTAAAATTAATATATATTTCTCCATTTTGTTTTTCAAAATTGATTTTACTACTTTAAGTGCTCCATTATTTTTTACAAAACTAATAGTAAGTAATCCCTTATGATCGATTGTTATAAATTATCAAAGACGGAGTAGAGAATTTATCCCTGGGAGCAGAGCTTTTATAATCTGTTTATTAGACAGAGAAGAAAAGAGAAGAAAAACAAACGTTTCATAGTGGAGGTATCCCTATTGTTTCCATAAAACGTTACAAAAAGTGTAAAACTTACAGATGCGTTCGGTGTTTTTATAAAAGCGCTTTTCATGTATTAACTTAATAAATGGTGTTTCTTAATACTTTGGCAAGGAAAATCAAACTCGATCGAGAGATTTGCTGATGTTTTTGCAGTCTGTAATAACCTCCAACCTCCTGTATAATAAACCGTATCGTTCAACTTTCAAAAATAAACAAACAGTTGCCAGAAATCGCGATCGCGCGATACACATGTAATAAGGACCAAATTCTCAGTTCTTAAAAGTAAGTGTTGTAAGTATTGTCAATGCTTTGGTAAATATACTAATAAGAATTCGATATAATCGTTATAATAGCCACTCTTCATACACAGCATATACTTCGTTAGTACGAAGTGATATAGTAGGGGCTGGCTTTAGTCAGACTTCACAGCATATTGTCAATCTCTAACCAGGGGGCGTATTACGCCGACAGTATACAAATCATTTGCTGAAGTTACCGTTGTCGATAGGTAGCTCCTTGTGGAAGTTTCCGGTTTTGGTTGCAGAAGGATAAGGTTACGAGCGATAAAGCGATGCCGATAGGTAGCGCCTTATGGAGGTTTCCGGTTGCCGACACATGCCATATAGCGGCTAGCGAAGCTAACCGCTTAAAAATGACATCCCACCCACAAAGACACAGAAAGCGGGGGACCACAATTCTTTGAATTTGCTTGTTTAACATTCTTTCAAAATGCTACACCTCCTACTGTTTTTGTTTGCATCTGATTCAGTATTAAAGATGTTGTTTTTTTTGCCTCAGATAATGATATTTATTCAAACTATAAATAATTACAGTATGATAGTTAAGTGTATCTTCTTTTTGTAGTTTAAACAGAATACCGTTTGACAAATACACAGATTTTTTATGTTCATACAATCAATGTCTCTGGTTTGTTATGCCCCCGTAAACGAAGTTTCAGGGGTATATAGTTTTTGTCGTGTCCGTCTGTCTCTCTGTCTGTCTCTCTGTTTGTCTGTTTGTCCCCAAAAACTTTAACCTTGCCCATAACTTTTGATTTAGTGAAGCTATGACTTTCATATTTCATATGTGTATTCCTTGTGACAAGACCTTTCTTTGGGTACCACCAAATTTGACCTTTTGACCTTGACCTTGGGGTTTGACCCACTTTAGCATGAAAATTTTAAAATTTTACTTTGGCCATATCTTTTGAACAGTAGAAACCAGGACATTTATACTTCACATATGTAATGTTTGTTAAAAGACCTTTCACTGGATACCAACAACTTTGACCCTTTGACCTTGACCTTGTAGACTTCTCTACTTGTAAAAAAAACTTTAACCTTGGCCATAACTTTTGAAAGGTAAGGGATAGGGCTTTCATACTTCATATATGTAATCCTTGTGAGAAGACCCTTCATTGAATACCAAGAACTTTGACCATTTGACCTTGACCTTTGAGATTGACTTACTTTAAAAAAGCAAACCTTGACCATAACTTTTAAAGAGTTAGGGCTAGTGCTTTCATACTTAACATATTTGATTCTTATGACATGACCCTTCATTTGATAACCTTAACTTTGACCCTTTGACCTTGGAGTTTGACCTACTTTTTAAGAAATTGAACGTTGACCATAACTTCTGAACGGTTAGGGCTAGGGCTTTCATGCTCTGCATACGTATTTTACAAACACATCTTGTTTTTGGTATGTATCTCAGTGACATAAACTTTCAGTTACAATGAAGTATTTACATATATTTGATTTTTTTCACTTTACCACGGCCCCACTCAGTCACAAAGAGGTTGTCTCTGCTGTCTACACATAAACCCCATGGATGGTGTAGATAACAGTTATCAATGTAACGGAGAAACTGTCCGTCCTGATCTAGGATGTGGATACTGTGGTCGTCACTGTCTGAAATCAGGATTTGACTCTGGCTGTCAGTTGTGATGCCAAGTGGACAGAATGGTCCCTTGGTAGTTGGATGACCAGTGTATCTAAATCGGAGTTTTCCTGCCTGATTAACCACCACTACTGCACTGACCCCATTGTCAGCCACACAGATATCAAGGTTCCTGTTCTCACTGATGTGTTTCATGTAACCAGATGAATAGAGAGGTTTATATTTACTATCAAACTGAATGGTTTGTTTCTCTGTGGAGCCAGAGTAACGGACAACTTTTGATTGTTTTTTATCATCACTGTCCATGGTAACCAGGAGGTCACCAGAGGAGGTACTACAGACATAGCAAGGAGTCCACCCCCGTAGTCTGATCACTACTTGTATCTTTTTATTCTTCACTATGTTTACAGTTCTTGTATCAGGGTCAGTATAAACTAGATCTCCACTATTTGTCACAGCTATGTCACGTGGATTGTTCCCTGACTTGGTTTGAATTGACCCCAGTAGTTCACCCTGGAAGCTGTAGAGTTTCATGATTTTGTCATAGCCATGTGTCCATATTCCTTCATCACTGAGACAGGTAACACTGCATTGTAACATATACCCAGTGTCTATGGTGGTGATAAGCTCTGGTTTATCAAGCAGTGGATTGACTGGAGGACAGGATACATCTTCTGGTGTCTTCATTGTGTAGCCATGTTCTTCTGTTGTAATGGATAATGCTGACAGATAACCAAACATTTTATTAAATTGGTCTGTGTCGATCTGATGAGGAGAGAAACTTGGTAATAAAGCATTGACTTTTGGAGGTAAACTCCTAAATTTAACATTCCTGGATTTGTAAGCAGAGATTAGGGAGACATCATTGGAGTCTAGCATTTTCTTCAGATCCAAAACACTCTGCTTTACTTCAGAAGTAATGTGTTTAATTTCTTTTTCCTGTTTGTTTAGAACAGTTAGGTGTCTTTCCTTCATCTCATCAATTTCAGATTTTCTTCTGTTGACAATGATGTTAATTTCTCTGTGCCAATTTTCTCCTTGTTTGGTGACATCTGTTGTCAGTTTCTCATAATGTTTTTCAGAGTTTACTTTTAGAGAGTTTATATCTAGTGTTATTTCTTCGTATGTTGGATAGATTCTTTTCTCTAATTCTTCCAAGTCTTTCTCTAAATCCTTTGTTTTAGAGCTTAGTTTTTTCAGAATATCTGTAAATTTATGTCCATGATGTTTATCAGAGGAGATGCAGGTAGAACAGACATGAATGTCACATTTCTCACAGTAAGATACACAGTGATTCTCGGTATGGTATGGACATTTTGGATAATTATAAGGAGCAGAAGTTCTGTGTTTGTAAGGTACAACCTTGTGTCTTTTTGATGAATCAGAGAGATGCTCCCCAACACAAGCCTTACACAGGTTAATCTGACAAAGTTCACAATGACTCTGTAACGCTGCTCTTTGACACAGGTCACAAAGGAGGAGAACTTGAGCTCTGTCCAGGGGATCCATTAATATTCTCACTTAACCAAGTCTAGGTGTTGCTGTTTAAAAAAAAATGAAAATTGTAAAGTGTGTCCTGTGTTGAGGATTAGTCATGGGTTTATGTACATACATAGATACTTGTGAATGTAATCTCAAATCTCCATGCTGAGACCACTATTGTATATCATAAAACAGTAAAATCATGCACAATTATATTGTTCTCTACGTTTTGAAGGAGACCTACTTTAAAAAAAAATATTTGTTAATTCAGATAGGAGATAAGTTGTACAAAATGTTTGATATTAGAATTGAACTAATGTCTTACCTGTAAAATCAATATGGCTCCTTTAGTTCTGTCTGACAATCTACTTCCTGGTGTTGGCTTGCCAGGTCATGTGATTTAAATACCTGTCAATATATAGGCCACTTGAATAATTTTTTATTTAGCATATTTGGTATTTAAGATAGGAGCATAATTACATTCATGAAATTCTCAAAATAGACATGAAAGAGGATATTTTAGATGTATTGATCAAATTATAAATTGACTGTTGCAATGAATTTAAAAGAAAAGTAACTCATGTGTTTATAAAACTATTTATCATTTATCTTGAATTTTTATCATATTCAGAAATCTGACCCGAAAATCTCTAAATAATTTAGAATATTTTGATACATGTATAATCAAATTGTAGATTATGTTACTCAAAGTAGTTGCTGGTTGTCAAAAATAAATATGAAAAAAAAATTCTTGTCACAGTAACATACATTATGATTGTTAAATAAGAGTATCACTCTCTGTACAAAAAGACCCTGATTTGGAATCATATATATTGTCTATTCTATTCTGTAGATGCAGCACATTGTCCAGGATGAGGTCTGTGTGAAGATCACTGCATTGTTCCAGGAAGAACGCAAGAACAACGCCACAGGGGGACGAGTGGCCACTGTCCATCAGCGGTCAGCCAAGGAGAGTGCTTACCAGAAAAAGGCCGAACAATGTCTCAGTGAGGAAAACTGCTTCAAGGTTGTCATTGTAAGTAAGAGGGAAGAGGATAACAAAATTTCCTCAGAATGCAATTTCTTTTACTTTAAAAAAAACTTGACTATTTTTGTGCTGTTGTACATATTTTAATTGCGGGTTCAGTATTTGCTGTTTCGTATCGTAAACCCATGGTTAGCTCAAACATTTTGTAAAAAATCTTTATTTTCAACAGTTCAAGAAAGAGTGTAAGTTGACCTTTGAACTCCTGGACACTGACCATGAGCAGTCTGATGATCCAATAGAAGTGGAGCGTTGGTCTGAGTATGTAGAGAAGTACGTCTCCAAGGACGACACTGTGTCAGAAGACTTGAAAGAACACCTTAACCGTAAACCTGTCTTCTTACCCAGGTAATTTATTCACACACAGGCCATCTTTAAAAAATTGGTTGTCTCCCAACCAACTGACAAAAATGACCTGAATCAATACTTATTTAGCATTCCAAGACACAATATTTTTCTTCTTTTTTACCACTCTTCTGTCAACGAATATGTTAAAATTTTCTGCAAATTGTTTTTTTCCACCTACCATACTTACCAACCCAACCCAATAGAGGAGGGAGGGGGGCAAACATTATATTAAAGGTGGGCCCATGTAGTTATATTAACTCAGGTTATTTTCCATAAACTAGAAATCATATGTACATGTAAAAAACCACTAGGCAATCATGATGAGATTTTGAAATTGTGACTGTAAATACACAGCGCACCTTTTGAACCAAGGATTTGACATTGAATTAATTATTCATTATGAGGTTTTAAATTTGTTGTTGAAGAAAATTAGGTGTTTCATGACCCTGACTTCAGTTCAAAGGTCAAAAGGATTAAGACAGGATTAAAATTTTGAAGGAGGAGCTAATCATATTATCTGAATACTGTTTTGTAACCCTGTAAATACATATAAATGTGTGTGTCACATGATTTTGAATAAATTAAGAAAGACAGGAGAGGGTATATTAAAATTGAAAAAGTCATAACTTCATCAAAATTGTCAGCTCCTCAAAGGATTTTTTGTGTCCTGTTTTTGTGTAACCTAGGAATTGTATAGAAAAGGATTTTCCTTTGTACATGTTGTATGAATGAATAATGGTAAACAGGCAATATACATTGAAAGCCTACGTTGAGCAAATTTTGCACTTTTTATCCAACTCTTCTTTATATTGTTTTACATTATGAAATTACTCATTTGCTGTAGGAATGTGAGACAGTGGAGACTTCACCAGAAGAATCAGAAATCTCGGTCAGACACAGAGACAGAGGAAATTCCAGGGTCCCCTAAACAGTCAACAGAGGATATGGACATACTGGACAACACAGAGTGTAAATTTAACGTCAACTCATTCAAAATTGTGTACGTCGTTAACAGCGAATACTATCTGTACAAGCGTACAGCACTCACCAAGGCAAGGGAGGTAAGCACATAGAAGTAATAACAAGTTTTATTACATGTATATTGTTTGTCATTACTTGGAAGATTTTCTAAATTTCTTTCAATCATTATCAATTACTTTTTAAAACAATTTAAATTTTATCATTGCAGTCACACAAGAGAGTGTCCCTAAAGCTCCATGACAAATTCTCCACCTGGATAAATCGCTGGAGGGAGGAAAATTTAACGGAAGATCAGAAGTCAGTGTGCGAGGATTGGCTGATGGGACGTACTGAGGATCTAGTGGCATGTACCACCACAAAGGAGTCGTGCGGTGCCGAGGATGCCACGCCCTACTTCACCTTTAACAAATACAAGGTGGAGTATGAATACGAGACCAAAAGTGAGGCAGGGGAACCAGCTGAACCAGTCAAAGAGGCCACCAGTTAAGGAGGATACAATGAAGCTACTAATAACAACCTTAGTTTCAGCAAATACTTGGTTTACATTATCTGAATATAAATATAAGAGGAACATGAACTGATGCAGTTAAAGTTAGAGGAATGGATACAATTAAACAAAACTCTTTTTTCTATATCTGAAAGGGCAAATGCATTCAACTGATTGTCATTATTTACATAGGTTGACAGTTTGTAGATGATGATGAATTTCTATTTCTTAAAGGTTGCCTGTCATATAATCATGGGAATATTTAGATTTTATTTACACATGCCTGTTTATTTCATGCCAACATGCAGGTTATTGCTGTAGAATTAAAAATGTCATCAGATTGATTGTATGTACCGTATATACTCACCTATAAGTCGGTTTTTTGGGAGTTAATATCGAAACTCTGTGTCCGAATAGAGATTTAATATATATGATCTTAAATATAAGATAAATACAACCGACTAAAAGTATGTAAATAAAACAAGAGATTTAATATTTGATCTTAAAAGATAAAAGTTGTAAATAAGATTTTGGCTGTATATACATCTGTGTTATATAGAATAACCTTGTAGGTATACTTGTTATTTTAATTCAGGAATGTGAATTTGATTACCTAGAGAAAGTTTCTAATCCCTCATTTAAGTTTGTTTGTTGTATATGATCGTAAGAGAACTGAGTTATAGTTCACTTTTTATTGTATATTTTTATTAATTACATATTTGAGTCATTCATCTATCATACTCCATGTCCATCTGACTTTGCATATTGCATAGACACATTGTATATTTATTTAAATTATGTGTAAGAGATCATATTTTGATAAGATTTGCTATTTGCAACATTGAAGTTTTGTTTTTGTCCATGTGTTTTAAAGGTATGTAAAATGAATTAATCAGAGCCCTGTTAAAAACTGCAAAAATTGTGTAACTCATCCTCTAAAACAAGTAAACTTGTCTACATTGAGGCATGATATAGGAGGTGTGGTAATACGATCCGCAAATCGTTATTCTCATTGAAAAATATTTTTCATCATTTATAACTCTGTCTCTTTAAAATAAAATCATTTTGTGAATAGAGACTGCATGACAATTACATTACTACATGTAATTCCTTGGACTTGAATTATATGACTGGGATATGATATATATACCTCTTATTATTGTAAAATATTGCTTGTAAATAGTCATAAAGCTCTGAATTGCATTGAAGATTGTAACAAATGCAACTTGTAAGATTGTAGCATTACATTTCTATTACATATTGCAATGTAATATTTGTGTCATTAAATTTTCCAAACTGGTCAAACAGATAATGTTATTATATATTACATTTATTACAAATTACATTGTAATACTTTTGTACATGAATTTTTCTCTTTTGGTCAAACTGATGCTGTCTTTTCATTTTCCTTAACTTGGTCAGATACTTTCACTTTGTTGGTCATATATTTTCACTTTGTGTATGTTTAGTGTAGAAAAAACTGTATTAAAAGTAATAAGTCTAAATTTTTGTCATATGTAATTTATGCGTTTCACTCTGATTGGCTGACACAGAAATCTAAATAACCTTCTTGTTTTATGACAAATTTCAATGAACTTGAAGATTTGGGGATTTATTGCAAGGTAGTTATACAAAAATATGTACAGGTAAGAGAATTCTTGAAAATGGGAATGTATGTAACTGTGCCGTAGTTTTGTTGCTTGAAACTTAAAATGGACGCATTCTTTGATTCGGAAAAAGGATAAAATAGAGAATAAAGAGCAATAAGCGTCAATACATTCAGCTGTTATTATATTCAATGCAAAGATATATATGCATCTATGCTAAATTCATTTTGAGTTATTTCTCGTGTATTCAATAAATATGTGCTGAATTAAATATGTAGGTAAATATATGAAAGTATTTAAGGAAAATATATGTATGTGGAAAAATTCAGAAAAAGTGGAATCACATGCTTTGAAATTTTATTTGCTGTAATACCTGTTCGGCTATATTGAAATACGTTTCAGATAAAGCATTCTTTAAAATAAAGTGTGAATCTTTCAATACAAAAGTATTACCAAATTTTATTAAGGTGGTAGGAAATGGGACACCTTAAGGGAGAGATGGAGTCGTTTGTGGAACATCTATAGAGGGGGGTGTGTAAGTACCAGGTCTGGGGGCCATAAAACCAAGATGAGCTCACTTTTGATCCCAGTCTCACTTTTACCAAAAGAACATATACAGCTTTGGTTCCAAGTCAATTTGTCCGGATATGTGAAGCATCCGGATATCTGAATCACCAGTTAAATAAGACAGAGTAATATTTTAAATTTTCGTTCCGGTGAAAAATCGTCCGGATGCTGAAGCATCCGGATATCTGGCGTCCGGATATCTGAATGTCCACTGTAGTGGAAAAGTGAGACTGAGTTCAAAAGTGAGCTCGTCTAACAGGCCAGGTCTGTCTACTACCTGACCAGACCAGACTAAGAGCACCGTAAGGGAGTCATGTGTGGAACATCTCTATAACGGGACGTTTATATGTACCTGTTACTTATACTGCCAGACCATACCAGACTTGGAATAAAAAAAAAATGAATAATGCAGACAATTTAAAAGTGATATGTCACTTAAATGTTTTCTAGGTTAAAATCGTCTCCCTTGGTTTTAAGCCCCTAATGGAGACTGAACTAAGTAGTCAAGTTGTTAAACAACCAGGAGAATTTACTGGTCAATTCCTGCCAGGCGTCAATGGTTCATCTGATGAGGGATATTTAAGTACTGAGGATTTAATGGGAAAACAAGTTTATGTAGGGGGGGGGGGGGGGCAATTTTTTTGATGGAAAAGTAAGTATAGATGTCATTGAGATTTTCATCGTGGGAGAAGGTAAACCTAATGTTGAAATTTGCATGCAAGTTCAAGGAAGTACCTGGTTGGAAAATCTTTGTATACTCTAGTAGTACATTTGTAACTGTCGGCTAATTGTAGTTTGTGTGCTATTGAAGAACTATACTAAAGGTCAATTTTCTTAAATTAAATCGAGATACAATGATGCATCTGAATGTACGTAGATTTAGCTGAGATACAGTGTGTATCTAAATGATGAAAATCTGATAACTGAAATACATCTGACAAAAATTGCCTTGAAATTGGTTAAGTGTAATATTTTTGAGAATTGTTTCCGTCTAATATCGCTATCAACTTCTGTTATCATTTTTATGTTATTGTCGCTGTCTTTGTCAATGGGGTTATACACATTGGCATGGATGTTGATGATGCAGACAAGGAAAAGCCAAAGCAGAAGAAAAGAAAGAACTGCAGAAGGACAGATCTTCAAATTCAGAGAAAAATGGAAAAGAGGCTGAAGAGGTGAAGGTCAAAGAGGAGAAGGTTGACCCTGAGATAAAAATGGTGGAAGAAGACGAGAGTAAGTCTGCAGACTCCGCTGTTGTCAACGGCGACCAGGAGGAAAACACCAACGACGAAGACATGGAGGATGTAAGGAATTTGGGGGGGGGGGGGGGTGTTCTTAAAAAAAATTGAATATTGCCAAGTAACTTAAAAGATTTTTGTACAAGATATTGCTAAATTTCTGTAACATGAACTAGATAGAGTCCAAACAGTTACTGATTTTTATTAGCTTATACAAAAAATGACGAGTAACAATTTTTTTACTGCGTAATTTCTGTAATGTTATAGTTTCTTTTCAAACAGTTTCTTTAAAATAAATGCACATTTATTTTCAGGATGATGTTTATTCCCTGTTCTTTATCAACAATAACTGGTATCTGTTTTTCCGCCTCCATCAAATTCTGTGTGAACGCCTGTACAAGATAAGCTATTGTACTTCCAGTTCTTCTCTATTGTAGTGAAATATGGGGAGTGGATCTCTCATCCAAAGATATTTCAAATGTTGAAAATTTTCACTTAAAATTCATTAAAGACATCCTTGGAGTGCACTGCAAAACATCCAATGCTGGTTGTTTAGCAGAACTTAAAAGACTACCACTTTGGTCCAAAATTTCCCTCTCAAGTATCAAATATTGGAATCACCTGAAAACTTCTGATTCTTTGGCCTTTAAACTTTACCAATCCACAATTAACTGTAATTCTTGGACTAAGAAATTATTTTCTATTCTTGATAATCTTGGATTCTCTAACATTACAAAATATACAGGTTCCATCCAACACCTTTTACCAAACATTAAACAAAGAATCATAGATCAGTGCACTCAAGAGCAAACATCAAAAATCTTTGGTTCAGAAAAACTTGATCTTTTCAAGAAAGTATACTGGAAAAAGAAGTCCTTATGTTGATTTACTCAAAAAAAGATCTGAGAGATCCTCTCTTAGTAAAATTAGACTAAGCGCACATAAACTTGCAATAGAAAGTGGTAGATATATTTCCACATCAAGAAATGAAAGATATTGTAATGTTTGTAATACTGGTGTGATTGAGGATGAAATACATTTTCTTTTTCACTGTAATTCTTACTCTAAGCTAAGAAACGCATTCTTTAGTAATATTTATAACATAACAAAGAAAAATATTAATCTTAGCAATGAGAAATATATGCTACAATTATGTATAAACAGTAATATACAAAAAGTCTTGAAAGTTACTGTTAAATTTATCAGAGACTGTTTTGATCTTAGAAGTCAATTACTTGACAATTCTTGAAAAAATATGTAAACATTATTTAATGTTGTTCAGTGGGCCTTTGCCAATTATTGTAATTGTGTTTGTGCCAATAAAGTATTTGTATTTGTATACACATATTCTGTTAAAATTGACGCAGAGGAGGCACAGTATAGAAAAGACAGAAAGGAATCTACTGCAGTGGCCCTCAGACTCAAAGCTCCAAGAAAGTAATCTCAAGAGGAATTCCAATCCCCTCTCCCCCCCCCCTATCCCATCTACATGTAATTTAATTTGAGTAAAAGTTGCTCATTCTTACAGTAGTTTACATGAAATTATGTTATCATAATTTACAAAAGCTTAAGTCTTCTTAAAGCATTAAGGGTATTGATTTGAATTGGTTGCCAAGACAATGGTTATGATTGTTGCCATGGTTACAGTTGAGATTGAGCCAGAGGAGTACTATCCATACTTCCTGGAGATGGTCAAGAGTTTGCTGGACGGGAACTTAGAATCCACACAGTACGAGGACCAGCAAAGAGAGATGTACGGTATCCATGCTTACATCGCCTTCACCATGGAGAAGTTGGTACAGAACCTTGTCAGACAGGTGAGAAGATAATAGTTTAAATTAATTAGGAAGCTTGAGTCTATATACTATGGTATGATGTAGACTTGTATACCTTGTAATCACTCTTTTTTTTTTTTTTTTTTGAGGTATGGAGAAACCCATGAATTTATGGCCACCACAAAATTCAAAATTTCTGGTCCATTACTAACTTTTTCCAACCACAAAATGAAATCCCCATGAATCATTTTTCCTTCAAAGGGAAACCTTGAAAAATTGACCCTATGAAAATAATTGATTTTACAGAAAGTTCAGTAGTTTTTTTTTTGTTCTTAGTCATATAAGTATATAAATAGGTCTACAGTCAGGGGTGGTACTGAAATCAGTCATTTTTGAAAATGATGGATAATGGTCATTTCTTCTAAGTATATAATGTACACAATTTTCTGATTTTTGTAAATATGACGTCTTTTCATCATATTTCCATTCTCAAGTCAATTTTCCCATCCCATTTACTACAGTAATTAGATATAGTACACTATCCTGCCATAGACCCTTGTGTAGAGAAACATCTTGACAAGTAATTGAAACCAAAATAATTTAGCGCGCCCCGTAAAACTAATGAGATAATTAAGTGCGCCCAGACCTAACAATTTGATAAAAAATGATGAAAAACAGTCATTTTTAATATCAGAGATAACTCTATTTCTAAAATAAATTTCAAAATAGAAATGACTGTTTTTCATCATTTTACTAAAAAAAAGATGAATTTTTAAAAATGATGATTTTTAGTCATTAAATTGATTTTTAATAATGATTGAAATTCATCTTTTTTTAGTAAAATGATGAAAAACAGTTTCAATGTCTTATGTTTAGAGTTTTTTGTCTCGAAAATCAGTCACTTAAACATTCAGTGACAATGAATTATTTACATGTATTTGATTTTCTTCACTTTATCACTGTAAAACTCGGCTACAAAGAGGTTGTCTCTGCTATCTACACATAAACCCCATGGATTGTATAGATGACAGTTATCAATGTAACGGAGGAACTGTCCGTCCTGATCTAGGATGTGGATACAGTGGTTGTTACTTTCAACTGTCAGGATCTGACTCTGGCTGTCTGTTGTGATGCCGCGTGGATTAAATGATCCCTTGGTAGTAGGGGGATGACCAGTGTATCTAAATCTCAGTTTTCCAGCTTGATTAACCACCACTACTGCACAGCCTTATTGTCAGCCACACAAATATCCAGATTCCTGTTCTCACTGATGTATTTAAAATAACCAGATGAATAGAGAGGTTTACCTTTATCATCAAACTGAATGGTTTGTTTCTCTGTGGAGCCAGAGTAACGGACAACTTTTGATTGTGTATCATCATCACTTTCCATGGAAACCAGGAGGTCACCAGAAAAGGTACTACAGATGTTGTAGGGTATCCACCCCTGTAGTCTGATCACTTCCCGTATCTGTTTATTCTTCACTACATTTACAGTTCTTGTACCTTGGTCAGTATAAACTAGATCTCCACTCCTTGTCACTGCTATGTCACATGGATGGTTCCCAGACCTGGTTTGGATGGATTTCAGTAGTTTGCCCTGGATGTTGTAGAGTTGCATGATTTTGCCATTGCCACTTGTCCAGATTTCTTCATCACTGAAACAATTAACACTCGTCAGATATCTACACTCCATGTCTAAAGAGAAGATAAGCTCTGGTTTATCAAACAGTGCTTTAACTTGGGGACAGGATACAGTTTCTGGTGTCTTCATTGTGTAGCCATGTTCGTCTGTTGTAATGGATAATGCTGACAGAGAACCAAACATCTGATGGAGCTGTTCTGTGTTGATCTGATGAGGAGAGAAACTTGGTAATGAAACATTGACTTTAGGAGGTAAACTTCTGAATTCAGCATTCCTGGATTTGTAAGCAGAGGTTAAGGAGACATCATTGGAATCCAGCGTTTTCTTCAGATCAAGTATGCTCTGTTTTACTTCAGATATAATCTGTATGATTTCTTTTTCCTGTTTGTGTAGAACAGTAAGGTGTCTTTTCTTCATCTCATCAATTTCAGATTTTCTTCTGTTGACAATGATGTTAATTACTCTGTGCCAGTCTTCTCCTTGTTTGGTGACAGCTGTTGTCAGTTTCTCATAATGTTTTTCAGAGTTTACTTTGAGAGAGTTTATATCTAGTGCTATTTCTTCATATGTGGGGTAGATTCTTTTCTCTAATTCTTCCAAGTCTTTTTCTAAACCCTTTGTTTTAGAACTTAGTTTTTTCAGAACATCTGTAAATATATGCCCATGATGTTTATCAGAGGAGATACAGATAGTACAGACAGGAATGTCACATTTCTCACAGTAAAGTTCACAATGTTTCTGGGAATGGTTTGGACAGTCTGGGTAGTTAGGTGTAGAAGTTCTGTGTTTATATGGTACAACATTATGTCGTTTGGATGAATCAGAGAGATGCTCCCCTACACAGGCCTTACACAGGTTAACCTGACAAAGTTCACAATGACTCTGTAATGCAGCTCTTTGACACAGGTCACAAAGGAGGAGTACTTGAGCTCTGTCCAGGGGATCCATTAATATTCTCACTTAACCAAGTCTAGGTGTAGCTGTTTTAAATAAAAAAACAAAATTGTAAAGTTTTTCCTGTGTTGATGATTAGTTCTGGGTTAATACATACATAGATACTTGTGAATATAATCTCAAATCTCCATGCTGATACCACTATTGTATGTCATAAACAGTAAAATCATGCACAATTATACTACTTTTTGAAGGAGACCTACTTTTAAAAAAATTATTTGTTAATTCAGATAGGAGATAATTTGTACAAAATGTGTGATTTTAGAATTGAAATAATGCCTTACCTGTAAATTCAACATGGCTCCTTTAGTTCTGTCTGACAATCTACTTCCTGGTGTTGGCTTGCCCGGTCATGTGATTTAAATACCTGTCAATATATAGGCCTCTTGAATAAATTTTTATTTAGCATATTTGGTATTTAAGAAAAGATTATAATTACATTTATGAAATTATCAAAATAGACAAGAAGGAGGATACTCTAGATGAATTGACAAAATTATAAAATGACTATTGCAATGAATTTAAAAGAAAAGTAACTCATGTGTCAATAAAACTATGTACATTTATCTTGAATTTTTATCATATTCAGAAAACAGAGTTCAGAATTTCTAAGTAATTTAGATAAAAATGTTTTTTTTAGCTCTACTTGTCAGAAACTAGAGTATTTTAATACATGTATGTCAAATTGTAGATTATGCTACTCAAAGAAGTTGCTGGTTGTCAAAAATAAATGTGAAAAAAAGTTTTCTTGCCTCAGTAACATACATTATGATTGTTAAATAAGAGTATCAGAGTGTATTTGTATATGCTCAAAAGGGCCCTTATTCGGAATAATATACGTTCTCTATTCTATTTTGTAGATGCAGCACATTGTACAAGATGAGGTTTGTGTGAAGATTACTGCATTGTTCCAGGAGGAACAAAAGAACAACGCCACCGGGGGGCGAGTGGCCACTGTCCACCAGCGGTAAGCCAAGGAGAGCGCTTACCAGAAAAAGGCCGAACAGTGCCTCAGTGAGGAAAACTGCTTCAAAGTTGTCATTGTAAGTAAGATGGAAGGAGAAAACAGAATTTCCTCAGAATGCAAAAATCTTTAATCTTAGCTATTTTTGTTCTGTTTTTCATATTTTAATTGCGTGTTCAGTATTTGCTGTTTGGTAAAGCATGGGTAGCTCAAGCAGTTTGATTAAAAATCTTAAACTATTTTTAACAGTTCAAGAAAGAATGTAAGAATGTAAGTTGACCTTTGAACTCCTGGACACTGACCATGAGCAGTCTGATGATCCAATAGAAATGGAGCGTTGGTATGAGTATGTAGAGAAGTACGTCTCCAAGGACGACACAGTGTCAGAAGACCTGAAAGAACACCTTAACCGTAAACCTGTCTTCTTACCCAGGTAATTTATTCACACACAGGCCATCTTTAAGAAATTGGTTGTCAACCAACTGACTAAAAATAACCTCAATACTTATTTAACATTCCAAGATACAATATTTTCTTCCTTTTTTTACCACTCATTCTGTCAACGGATATGTTGAAATCTCTGCAATTTCTTTTCCCCACCTACCGTACTTACCAACCTAACCCAATAGAGGAGGGAGGGGGGCAAACATGATATTGAAGGTGGACATATGTAGTTATATTAAGTGAGGTTATTTTCCCTAAACTAGAGGTCATATGTAAAAGACCACTAGGCAATCATGATGAGATTTAGAAATTGTTACTGTAAATACACTGTGTAACTTTTGAACCCAGGATTTTACCTAGAGTAAATTATTCATTATGAGGTTTTAAATTTGTATTCAAATGTATACATTCTTGTTGAAGAATTAAGTGTTTTATGACCTTGACTTCAGTTCATAGGTCAAAGGGATTTAGACAGGATTAAAATTTTGAAGGAAGGGCTAATCAATTATCTGAATACTGTTTTGTAACCCTGTAAATACATATACATGTGTGTGTCACATGATTTTGAATAAATTAAGAAAGACAGGAGAGGGTATTAAAATTGATAAAGTCATTACTTCAAAATTGTCAGCTCCTCAAAGGATTTTTTTTGTGTTCTGTTTTTGTGTAACCTAGGAATTGTATAGAAAGGGATTTTCCTTTGGACATGTTGTATGAATGAATAATGGTAAACAGGCAACATACCGTATATACTCGCCTATAAGTCGGTCCGCCTATAAGTCGGTTGTATTTTAAAAGGTTATATATCATAGGGACTGACCTCATATAAATCCATTCATTTTATAGCTCGCCTATAAGTTGGACATAGAGTTTTGGACCAGAAATTAACTCCCAAAAATCCAACTTATAGGCGAGTATATACGGTACATTGAAAGCCTACTTTGAGCAAAATTTTGCACTTTTTGCCCAACTCTTCTTTATATTGTTTTATATTATGAAATTACTCATCTGCTCTAGGAATGTGAGACAGTGGCGACTTCACCAGAAGAATCAGAAATCTCGGTCAGACACGGAGACAGAGGAAATCCCAGGGTCACCTAAACAATCTACAGAGGATATGGACATACTGGACAACACTGAGTGTAAATTTAACGTCAACTCATTCAAAATCGTGTACGTTGTTAATAGCGAGTACTACCTATACAAACGGACAGCTCTCACCAAGGCAAGGGAGGTAAGCATACAGAAATAATGACAAGTTTTATAACATGTATATTGTTTGTCATTCCTAAGATGATTTGCTATTAAAATTTCTTTCAAGCATTATCAATTACTTTTTAAAACAATTTATATTTTATCATTACAGTCACACAAGAGGGTTTCCGTAAAGCTTCATGACAAATTCTCCACCTGGATAAATCGCTGGAGGGAAGAAAATCTAACGGAAGATCAGAGGTCAGGGTGCGAGGATTGGCTTATGGGACGTACTGAGGATCTTGTGGCGTGCACCACCACAAAGGAGTCATGTGGTGCCGAGGATGCCACACCGTACTTCACCTATAACAAATACAAGGTGGAGTATGAATACGAGACCAAAAGTGAGGCAGGGGAACCAGCTGAACCCGTCAAAGAGACCACCAGTTAAGGAGGATACTATGAAGCTTCTTATAACAACTTTAGTTTCAGGAAATACTTGCATAAACTGATGCATTTAAAGACAGAGGAATGGATACAATTTAACAAAACTCTTTTTTCTATATCTTATAGGCCAAATTCATTCATTTACATAGGTTGACAGTTTGTAGACGATGATGAATTTCTATTTCTTAAAGGTTGCCTGTCATATAATCATGGGAATATTTAGATTTTATTTATACCTGCCTGTTTATTTCATGCCAACATGCAGGTTATTGCTGTGGAATTAAAAATGTCATCAGATCGATTGTATGTAATTGTATCCGAAACAAGAGATTTAATATACTGGACAAAAAAAGTTAAGGGTCATAAAATTAAACTTGTTTTACAATTATTGTATCATAGAAAAAAGAATGCAGTTTTAATTTCAGTATCATATTCTATATTTAAAAAGTGAAAATTAAGCATTGGATGTGATAAGTTAGTTTGAACACACGATACGAATTGTTCAGTATCGTCACTTAAGAATTCGACATGTTGAGTGTAGACCTGAAAATGAGATTTTTTTCCGAAGAGTCAAATTACGTCACTAAAGTGATTGCCAGTATTTTGTTTGACCTCTCCGCAAGGCCCTGCAGCGCAGACCCATGATGCCCGTCAGCCGTCCAAGGCTAGCCTGAGTGGTCTGCTGCCATTCCTCTTGCAATGCTGTCTGAAGCTCCCGTCGATTTTGGGGAAGTGTAAGATGAACTGAAATGCGTTGCTAAAGAATGTTCCAGGCATGATCAATTAACTTCAGGTCTAGAAAACGACTTGGTGGGTCCATACATTAAGTTGTTTCACTTTCCATTTACTCGTTTACCATTAGGACTCTATGAGGTCGAGCATTATCGTCCATTAAGATGAAATCCTCCCCCAGAGTACATGCAATACGTCTAACAATAGGATGAAGAATATCATTTCGGTATTTTAAACCTGTCAGGTTGCCTTCCAAAATGTGCAGATCAGTTCTGCAGTCAAAACTTATGCCTGCTCAAATCATCACCAAACCTCCATTTACTCTGTATTGCCCAGAAATGACACAATCAGCATATCTTTCCCCATTTGCAATCCAAACAAGTCTTCTGTCATCATGAATGTCAAAACAAAATCATGACTCGTCTAAAAAGAGAACAGAACACCAATGACGTTATTTCCAAATTTTTGTGTTCTGTTACCCACTGTAGTTGATTTCTGCGGCACTCTAATTTTAATACAGGACGTACGGCTGGTCGGCAAGCCTTGAGATTTGCTTCCTGAAGTCTGTTTTAAACTGTTTGTGTAGAAATCCGTCTGTCCGCTGCTCTCTGATGCTCAGTTTTAAGCTTAAGAGCACTTTGGAAGCCGTGCGTCTCAGCAAAATTGGTCAAATAACGATCCTCACGGACTGCCATACATCTTGGACGTCCCGGTAATAGCAATTTTGGACAATTTTCTGCCTATAAATATCGGTCCCATAACTGTTAATTCCGCTTTTGGAAAGATAAAGCCTCTCTGCAACGTGACGTCGCGTTTTACCATCTTCCAGCATCCATGCTGCCTTGAAGTGTTCGTCCATACTCATATGTCTCCTAATAGCGTCTTATCACCAGTTCTGGCCAGATATACTTAAATTTTCTTATGTTCACCAAAGAAAACCCTCTTTGATACTTTTATGTTTCCATTGTTCCACTTCCTTTTTTAACGCCACGTACTTTCTTGACCAATATGCCCCAAAACTCAATAAACACGTGTTACTTAAGAATTGAATCATGTAAATGACTTGTTTTTAAAACTACTTAAGCCTTGTTGTCACATAAATTCATGGGTATGAAACAATTATTCTTGTGTAAAAATATGATCCCTAACTTATTTTGCCCAGCTTATCTTAAAAGATAAAAGTTGTAAATAAGATTTTCGCTGTATATACATCTGTGTTATATAGAATAACCTTGTAGGTATACATATTTTTATTTTAATTCAGGAATGTGAATTTGATTACAGTTACATAGAGAAATACCTATTTCCTCAATAAAGTTTGTTTGTTGTATATGATCGTAAGATGACCGAGTTATATTTCACATTTTTTGTTGTATATTTTCATTATGTCATATATATGAGTCAATGAGTCAATCATTTATCATACTCCATGTCTTTGCATCTGACTTTGCAGATTGCATAGACACATTGTATATTTATTTATATTTTGTGAAAGTGATCATGTTTTGATAACATTTGCTATGTGCAACATTGAAGTTTTGGTTTTGTCCATGCCATGTTTATCAAGGTATGTAAAAAGCATTAATTAGAGCCCTGTTAACAACTGCAAAAATGTGACACACATCCTTTTTAATTAAGGCAAGATATGGGTGTGGTAATATGATCTCCCAATTCTTATTTTCATTGAAAATTATTTTTAATCATTTTTCACACTGTCTCTTAAAAACAAATTCTCGATTTTTGAATAGAGACTGCATGACAATAACGTTATTACATGTAATCCCTGGGATTGTAATTATATGACTGGGATATGATTTATACCTCTTATTATTGTAAAACATTGCATGTAAATAGTCATAAAGCTCTGATTTGCATTGAAGATTGTAACAAATGCAAATTGTAAGATCGAAGCTTTACATTTCTATTACATATTTCAATGTAATATTTGTGTCATTAAATTTTCCAAACTGGTCAAACAGATAATGTTATTATATATTACATTTATTTCAAATTACATTGTAATACTTTTTCACATTAATTTTTCTTTTTGGTCAAACTGATGCTGCCTTCTCATTTTCCTTAACTTGGTCATCTACTTTCATTTTGTTTGTCATCTACTTTCACTTTGTATATGTTTAGTGTAGAAAAATTGTATTAAGAGTAAAAAGTCTAAAATTGTGGTCTCTTTATGTTATTTGTGCACTTCACTCTGGTTGACTGACACAAAAATCTCAATATCCTCTGTTTTGTGACAAATTTCAACGAACTTTAACATGTGGGCATATGTTATACGCTAGCACAAAAATATGTAGGAGAATTCTTGAAAATATAGGCATATACCGTAAATTTGGAAATTTTTGCTGTAGATAAATTTTTAGCAAATTTGCGAGTTCATTGCATTCGCAAAAATATTTTTCTTAAAAGAAGGATATGGAAATAAGTATTCAATCTCAACGTCCATTAAACAAATATACAAAATAAGAGCAGAGCAAACACGGACCTCCGAAACATCAGAGGTGGGATCAGGTGCCATGGAGGAGTGAGCATCCCCTGCCGACCGGTCACACCCGCCGTGTGCTCGTTGTCATTATCAGGATATAACGGAAAAAATCCGTGGTTAATTCAGTGTCTAAATAATGGACTAACAATTGGTATGAAAAACGTCAGTCAGCATGTCATTCAATGATAAATTATATTTGCTGACAAGGTCATTGTATCGACCATAGAATTTACGAAATGATGACTTTAAACGAGACTGTTGATATTCTTGTTTCATCAACTTGCTTGTCAATAATTTACCTCGTTTAAGAAATTGTTCATACGTAGAGCATGCTCTAGCATATCGAATCAACTGAGATATAAATACTCCGTATGCAGGTGATGAAGGTATATTGCTGCATAAGTAAGGGAAGTTGACGATAGAAAAGTTAAAGTCATCACGTTTATCATATAGCTTGGTTTTTAGATTACCATTAGTGTCTTTTTCAAGTAAAATATCCAAGTATGAAGCAGAAGTGTCGGACTCTGTGGTATCTTTTATCTCAAGCTCACCAGGATATATCGTGTCGACGTAGGAATGGAAATTATCATTATTAATTGACAATACGTCGTCGATATATCTAAATGTCGAGTTGAAAGCCACAGCAAGTGTTTTCTTCTTTTCACGTAAAAGATTTTGCATAAATTCTGCTTCATATGAATATAAAAATAAGTCTGCTAATAACGTAGCGCAATTTGTACCCATGGGAATTCCAATAGATTGTTGGAATACCTGGTCTCCAAAAACCACATAGATATTGTCAATCAGAAACTCAAGCATCTTCTTGATGTCAACTTCAGTGTACTTATGTGTACAATCAGAATCTGTTTTAACAAAATAATTTTTCAAATGACCAATGACGAGGTAAGTAAACTTACGAGTTCCATTTTTGTTGAAGAAGCAGCTATCAATGATATCAAAAAGCCTGGATTTTAATTTGTCGTGGGGAATTGTTGTGTATAAAGTTGAAAAGTCGTAAGTTTTTAAATAAATCACCAATAAGAAAATGTAAACAATGAGTGGTCATTCGCAAAATTTTGAAACGTAAAAATTAATCAACAGCATTTTTACCCGAATTCGCAAAATTAAATCGACGTAAAAATTTCCAGATTTACGGTATATAACTGCCACAATTTGATAGGTTGAACCTTAAATGGAGATAACTTTCTTAGATTTGAAAAAAAGATAAAATAAAAAGTGTATACCTATAAGTTGTGCACCATTACATTAAGCTATTATGAATCTCAATGGAAAGATATGTATGCATCTGTGCTGAATTGGATTTGGCTTATAGCTTTTTCTCGTGTATTTTTCAATGAGTCTGATACTTTATATGTAGGTAAATATATCTGGAAAGATTTCGAAAACTATTGCAAGCAAATGCACTGAAATTTTAATTGGCTAATAATACCTGTGTAGATATATTGAAATACAAATGTAGTTTTTGGATGAAATATTCTATATCTATAATACCATATATCACAATAACGTAAAAGCATTGCCTAATTTATTGAAGCTTGTAGGGAATGGGGCATCATAAAATGGTGATGAAGTCGTTTGTGGACCAGTTATCCATAGAGGGAGGTTTATACATACCTGTTCTGTGTACTCTAAGACCAGGCCAGCAGGAAGCAATTTCATTTGAAGGGTGCACAGCCATACATTTTAAGTTTTCAACTACCAATATTATTTTCACAGGCAAAACATAATAAAACAAAAAAGGTCTTCAGACATTTTTATTCACAAACGAGCATACATTTGCTATATTTTCTTT